TCCACGATTGACCGAAGGTCCACTTTTGAGATGTGTGGGTGTGTACAAAACATACGGGAGGTCTTCCTAAAAATGATTAAGTATAAACAAAAGAGGGACAAATGGAGGTCCACGACTGAAGGTGTTTATACAAAGATGCTCTAACATTGCATACTGTCTGTGGACCTGTGAACAAAAGAGGTCCACAGGGTGCAGGAAGTGTGAACGTTTTGTGGACTTGTCAACGTCCGCACAACTTTTCTACATCTATGCATACATGCATGGTTCTGGTTCACGCGCTGATATAGCGCGGTGAATCAGAATAAGCAGGAAAACTTCGGTACTCTAGGCCTATTGCAAAACAGAGCGGGTTTTTTCATCTGAATTTCACAGAATTACGAGCTCGCAGTCCTGTTCACGGCTTCCACGTACCTTCTCTTTTATACAAATCCTCAAGTTCATGGCCCACAAAATGCTCTCATAGCAAAACAATTGAGGGCTTGCAAATCATGATCGGCGAAGGCAATTTCGGGCCTATTTACTGACCGTGCACCACCCATAAAGACAGGGGAAAATCGCCCAAAGGCTATCGGTCAACCCCGGAAAGATTGAACAATCAGAAAATGTCTTGAATACCTTGGAGAGGTGTGTTTTCCCCATTTTCTATTTATTTAATTTTTATTGAAGTGGGGCTATTTATCATTGGTGCCTATGGGAAATTCATTTACCGGTCTACAGCCCTCAACTGATTTTGTAAGAAACCGCGTAATGGCGATGATTGCACATAAGCCCTTTAAAAGAAATCAAATCAGCAGCTTTTCCTTTACGGTGGTAAAAAAACACATGCGGCATGCAGTAATGGTAAACTGGTTCCCGCCGCTAAGAAATATATTAGCCAGAACAAGGAAGAACCAGGAATAGACTACATTATCATTACAAGTAGGACGCTTCTTTTATTCAGGGAGAGACATCATTAAGACTTACAACAACTTCAAAAATCCGACAGGATTCCGTAGTGTAGTGGTTATCACGTGCACCTTATTACACGCGCAAGGTCCCTGGTTCGAGCCCTGTCAAAGTCTTCACCACGCCGATGTCTGCGCTGACACGCGCCGTCACCGTATGTCTGAAGGTCTGCATGCGGGATCCGTCACACTCCAACTCGTTCGACGTGCACGCTGGCGCACGTCCATTTTTGTCCATTTTGCAACAAAAATTTCGCTGCGAAACATGGGTTAAAAAAAATTATTAATTTCAACTGTTAATCCGGAGTAGCTATTATCATAGCCTATTATAGTTTTAATTAAATTATCTTAAAAAGTGACAAGATTTAAAGACAAGTTTCCGTAACGCCGCCAGTCTTAGCAAAGTGTAATATTTACAAAGTGTGTAATTACTAAGAGCATTATGCGCTATTTGGAGTGTACTCAAACACGTATGACCTCATCACTATGGATACGATCCTGCTGCACCATGTTGGTTCCCGCCATGTCTTGCGTGACCTTAACCCCTGAGAACCTCTGAGAACAAAACAAAGCGTTTCCAGTAAAGGTTTCGAGAAAAAAAAACGGCTGTTGTATTAATATATACGTGTAAAAAAAAACGTATCATAGTTTTGATCCTAAATAACTCTGTTGTTTACCAATGGAATAAAAGCCAAATTTCAGATCAGTAAACAAGGTATGACACATTATGGAGCGAGTTTCATCAGCTTTGTGCAAGAGGATGAGAGTTAAACGTCATACGAAAAAATACTCACTTTCAGAATGTCGATACAGCGCTGAAGCTGGTGGCGGAAGGCGCGTGCTGCGGCCGAAAGCTTCTGAAGGAATGCAGGATCACCACTGATGTTATTGCACACCTCCTCGATCGCTTGGTGCAACACACGATCGAGGAGGTGTGCAATGCCATCAGGGGTGATCCTGAATTCCTTTTGAATCTTTCGGCCGCAACACGCTTCTTCCGCCGCCGTCTCCAGCGCTGTATCAATATTCTGAAAGTGATTCTTTTTTTTCGTATGGCGTTTAAATCTCACCCTCTGGCACAAGGCTGATAAAACTTGCTCCATAAAAATTTGTCATGCCTTGTTTACATGATCTGAAATTGTGGTTTAATTCCATTTGTAAAAACACAGAGTTATTTAGGATCAAATGTATGACTTTTTTGACACATGTATTTTTATAGTATGTTTGTACTGTGCTTGCATAGAGAACTAACAGCGTGTCCAATAAACATTATGCATGAAAAAGTCGCTAATTTGCTCAAAAGGTGGTCATACTAGCTAATCAAATTTTACATTTTTTTTAAGCATATGGTCTTGTTTATAATTGGCGAAAATATCAAGAAAATCCATTGATGCAAACCAGAGATATCGTTGATTTGGTAAGGCTATATTGATAACAAAGAACGCTCAAAAGGGTCTATACAACGTTGACGCTCGAGTAATTTGCAATTAGAGCAGTCGCCACGTGCTTTTAGATTTGATTATTGTAATGTTATGTACCGAAACTGTTATCTGTGAACACCTTTATCCAAATGCAAAAAAAGGCCATGCAATGTTTCAAACACAGACAAGCGTAACATACCAATAACCCATATTTGGTATATACGAGCAAAGTGTGGAAATTACATTGTGCAGCCATACATATAGCCTTACCAAATCAAGGATATCTCTGGTTTGCATAGCGCATAGTTAGATTTTCTTGATTTTGTTCACCAATTATAAACAAGACCATAGGCTTGAAATGCTATAAAATTTGATAAGCTTGTCTGACCAACTTTTGAGACTAATCAGCGATTTCTTCATGCACAATGTTTATCGGGACACGCTGTAGAAATGCCATTGTATTCCTCTCCTATTCTCTTGCATGGGCCTGCATTAATGGGAGGGGGAGGGAGAGATAAAGCAGTCTTATTAAAGGAGGAAGGTGGCAATTAAATCACTGACATACATGTTGTCCTCGGCTTCTCCGGGAGTCAGTTGAGCCAATGAACCTGCTTACCGAGAAATCGGGACAACGGGAACGCAAGCGATTGGAGAACTTGGGCCGTACCGGCGCCGAGGATGACGGTAATAAGCGTGGGCATCAGGGAGCGTTTGGTGACTGACGACTACGATTAGAACGGACAAGTTAAACGGGATCCCAATTAAACGTTCACCGCGTGGAATACTGGAATCAATAGTCACAATCGAGACTAGAATTGCTTGGAAAGCTTTTGCAAGATCTCTTCGCCCACTGTAAGCAGGCTGGCGACCAGGCCCCTAGCCACTTGTTTTAAACCCGGCCAAGTGCATTATTTATTCCGTCATTACATTTCACTCGTCTGTTGCGAGGTCTTTCAACTTAAATCTTCAAAAAATAATTCGTTTTACACATTAAAAAAATCAAATTTGAATTATAAATTTAAAGCTCATTATTTTTGGATCACTGATTGACGTCACTTCCGAACAGAACGTTGAACTTCTCTTTTGTGAATCAAATATAAAATCAGCGAGGGAACCATGTATAGACCTATTATGTGATTGCTTGGCTGTACACTACTTCGTTTGCGGTGCATTCTTCAATTGTTTTGGGCGGGGGGGGGGGGGATAGTTCAGAAACGGTGTGGCTCTTCAACTTGATGTCACAATGTTTGGGTCAGCCATGAGCGTTGCGGGGGAGGGGGGGGGCATATTCTGTTTATTTATTAATATAATTATTTGTTCATTTTTTTCCCTGGGCAATTCATTGGCATTTCCAAGTTTTGTTGGCTGCTGTAATCAAGTTTAATATTGCGGGAGCCTATACGCACTGCTTGCAGTGTCCAGCTCATAGAGGAGAGAGAGCCGACATTATTATTTCAAAAGTTCTGGCCAATGTCGTGGGTTTAAAGGGGCTATGGAGTGAATTTTTCTGAGGAACATATTTTGTGCAACTTTGTACTCCCCTAAAAATTAATGTCTGAAAAATATTTGACAACTTTTTCTTGGTTAATTGTATTGCAAAGTGCACTTCTTAAAACATTTAAAATGTTCCATGCTTTTCCGGACAACTGAGGGCGCTGTTGCTGTGATGTCATTTCAGGAAGATACTGTTCAGTTTGGGTTTTTTTTGTTCAAAATGTTACAAGTGAGAAAAGTTTGCTCATTCGCTGGCTGCCTTGTACTGCTGACACAACGAATCACCAAAGAAAAGAAAATTTTTAACGGCGAAATACCCAAAATTCCGTCAACTTTTGGTGCTGAAATATCGTCACCGTTTTCACGAAGAGCCACATGTCAAAAAAGAGTTCGATTTTTTTCTCAATATTTATCTTTAAAACAATGTACTTAACCATTTTGACATGTTTCTGTAAGCAAACCATCATTAATTTCCAAGTTACATTAATGTTACAAGGGCAAAAATCTCGATAAATACATTTTGCGTTTTCACGAAGAGCCACATACATTTTGGCCCGTTGTACTTGTACAAAGCCTATTGCACCGAAATACGTAAAAGTAGTCAACTGAGATTTCCGTTTTCACGTTACGAAGAGTCACATATCTTCGTTTTATTTTTCAGCTGCGTGCGTACTCACGCGCGCCTTTGGAAATACACGTTGAACAGAAAGGGCCAAAATGTCGGAAACCTGAATTTTCGTTTTCACGGCGAAGAGCCACATATCTTTACTAATTCATTTTCACCAATTAACTGCTGTTTTAAGTCTAATTACTGGGTTCGTGTAAAAATTCAGCTCTCATAGAATCGTTTGATGGTTTCCTTGCTGCACGAAGTTGCTGCAAATTAAGTGGTATTTTTTGCATTTTAAAATATGAGCAACTTCTTTTTCGAAAACGCTTTTTCTTCAAAATTCACATAAAATTATGTGGCTCTTCGTGAAAACGGTGATATATTCTAGGCTAGCTGCTAAATTGAGATTTCTGCCTGAAATGATAGCACACTTTTGCTCATGACTATGGAAATTGGCGTTAGCATAAAAACCAAAAAGGCACCAAAATACCCTTGAAAAAGGTTGCAAAGCGAAAATTGAAAACAAGGTTAGTCACGTGGAGCACAAAGAAAACAAATATTACTTTGCGTCCCATTTAATCAGTGTGTTTAGTTTTAATTCCCCAGTTAGATGTGAGGGGGCGTGTAACTCTGAATTCTAATTAACCTTTTCCCCCTGATTTATATCCCGATCATTAATTCATCACGACAATTAATGCGTGACGAACATTCGAGGACTGGAGCTGTTAATGTTGCGGACCCGTACGGTGCACATGTAGCAGGACGGGTCTCCAGCCAAGCATATCCTTATTAGCGGCCATGATAATTCGACGCATTTACCATCCCATTTTTTATTATACGAGACATAATAGTTTATTTATTTGTTGCATGTCAGTGAAAGTTGACCAAGCTGCTTGTTAATTCTGGCTGATCGTTATTTATGTATGATGATCGCGGTTCAGCCAATGGCTGCCCCCCCCCCCCCCTCTTATCAATCTTGGTTTTCATATACCGTCATGAGAACTCGATAGGTTTTTTCGAAAAAAACCCAAACAGATAAGGCTGAAGTACGCGATTTATTTATACCGACCGTCACAAAATTGAAAGTTGTGCTCACGTAGTGTAAACATTCAGCGAACGGTTCTCATCTGCACCACATTATGTACGTCTCTTGAAATATGAATGGTTGAAAGGTTTTGGCATAAATAACCTGCAATGGATGCTTATGGGGGAGCGCAGTCGCTTCGTTGATTTTGACTGCTGTGATGGCATTGAATTTGTCAGCCAGAGAGGGAGGATTAACAATGGGGAAAAAAATAATAAAATATACTGAACTACTCAACAATTAAAAGTGGCACATAATCATGATTATTGTCCAGATTAAAGTGGGATTCACAAAATGTGTCCATTTTTAGAATTGGGTGGGGAATTTTTGATTGATTTATCCACATCATGTGGTAGAAGCTCCATGCTTGGGTAGGCCTGCTGCCTGCCTTTTAGTCCTAACTCCCCAGACATTTTTGCTGGCATGAAACCTCAATCCTGCAAATTCCACCAACTGCCTCCATGTACAAATTGCATACAGCCTCAATCCTGCAAATCCTCCGTTATTTCTAGAACGTGGTCCTTGGAGGGGTGGCCACTGCCTCAATCCTGTAAAATCCTTTAGCAATCGCTGTCAATATGTTGAGGCAGAGCCAGTGACATCCCGGAGCAGTGCGGAGGATTTAGGCCTAAATGTATGCACGGCTGAGCATAACTTGACACAGTGCATCCTCCAAAATCAGTCACACACTTTTGCCAGATAGCCTCAATCCTGCAAAATCCTCCAATTTGCAAGGAGGATTCTGGAGGATTTGGGAAGGTTAAGGTTAATTTCTGTCGACCTGAAGACTTCTGGTAGTGCTACAAGCTACTGTCTTGAAGGATGTTCCACTTGCTGGATTTGGTGGCCGTGTTCTGTGGTCCGAGGAGGGTGACAGAATCCACCTGAGCTCCCAGAGCTAGATACCTGCAGTTGGATGAGGTAGGTGATGGTCCAATTCAGACATTAAAGGTAATTTACAACATTTGCAAACATCAAAAGATAAAACTACCAAATAATAATGAAATACCTTACTGGACTGTAAGTGAATAATAGTCTCAAGCATCCTGTGAAATCATGGCACCGGGTGTGCTGTCATTTTCAAGAAAAGTGAAATTATTGTGTCAATTTCCAATGATGGTCGTCCGAGCATTGTTGGGAAAAAAAAACGACTTTTGTTTAAACACTGACCCCCAATTAACCAAATTTACTTAATCCACATTTTGATTGCAATCGGTTACACATCCGTGAACCGGTGCAAGCCTGGTTTCCCTGACCTGACAATTCCCTGACGTCTACAAATTACTCTGTTTCGTCTGAAGTAGGGTCAGGGAACCAGACTACATGAAGGGATTTTTTTCTTGGTTTTTCGAGCTTTTCTGAACACAAAACTTCAAGCAGGTATATTACCTTTAACATAATACGGTATTTACGAGTATAAGTTTCAAGGTACTTCCTTAAAGGTTTGACGTACAAATAGAAAACTGAAAGGTTGTGCATGGTTTTCTCGAAAAGTGTAATGTCCATTGAGTGAGTTGAAACTTCAACGAGCTAGGTTTGGAACATTCTTCTTTGGATTTTGAGAGGTGTTATTATTGGAAACGAAATCAAGAAATGTTGCCGATTCCCAAGGATCAGTAAATTGACGGATATTTGGAAAAAGGAGTGCTGTTGATGAAATAGGTTTTTTGTGATCAAAAGGTTGTGCTTGGTTTTCTCAAAAAGTGTAATATCCACTGAGCTGAAACTTCAACAGGTTAGATTTCGAAAACATTCTTCTTTGGATTTTGAGAGCTGTTATTACTGGAAACAAACCAAATACATGAAATGTTGTTAGATCCTACATGCTATATCCTATAAGTGGAGTGTCATGGCCCAGCGGTTAAGAGCACCGGACTAATGCTCTGGTGTTTCAGAGGCAACAGTGGCGTGCGTTCGAGCCCGGGTCTGGACACTTGTGCCCTTAAGCAAGGCACTCAACCGTTATTGCTTCGTTTTTCGGATGGGACGTAAATGCAATGTAATGCAATGAACGTAAAAGAACCCAGTGGCATTTTCTGCTAAGAGAAGGGGTTTGCCCCGATGTTTTTGCCTCCTGTTAATGCTTCCACGCAGGGGGAAATTTAGGAGAAGAACCAACCAAGAGCCAAGACCCAAACCTACCTCTGCGCAACAAACTGGAGATCTTCTTTGCTGACAGCGAACATCCTCTGTCTCTGCTCCTGCTTCATGTCCTCTGAGATGTGAGATGTGAACAGGCTCATCCCTTTATCTGATGGGGCAACGGGGGCATCCACCTGGTAAGAAATAGGAGCTTTTGAACAAATGGCATTCTCATCAACCCAGTTAAGTGTACTTCATTATCTGCATGGCTGCAAGTGACAAGAACTGCAGTTATGCCAATTGCCTCGTGTTCATCAACAACAAATCCACAGCCCAAGTATGCTGACGACCAAAGATTTTTTAAAGTAATTTTGACATTTTCGCCATTGCAGACTGTGAAGGATTCAAGTGGATGAATGCAAGAAACTGAGACATAACCATGTTGACCATGCAGAGCAGTGTGTACATATTTATTGTACATGTGCGTTTACTGCATTGCTAGCTAAAAACAGACTTGGGCCACGTCTACACACAGACTATCAACGGTTCTTGCATGGATTGGGTCCACATCCCAAGACCTTCATACCCTGAGGGGACCGATACCTTGTTCAACACACTTACGAAAGGCATATAAGATCATTTGCATTTATCCCAAAAGTAACCTACCAAATTACTATCAAAGAGCTTACTTGGATTAAAGGTCGTACCAGTACTAAACACCCCGTGAAATTATTCCACCTGGCTTGCTGTCATGCTGAAGAAAGTCAATAAATGTAGGTGATTTTGAACAGCCAATTGACTGATTTTTGGAAATAACAGGTGCTATAGACGAAGTCGTGTTTCGTGATCAAAAGGTTGTGCATAGGTTTTTCTCACTGTCTTCTTGAAAAAGTGTAATATCCACTGAGCTGAAAGTCCCACGGTTTTTAGGTGAACGTTTTTCTTTGGATTTGAATGGCGTTATTGTTGGAAACGAACAAAATGCATGAAAAGCGAATGATCCTATATGTATTTAAATAACATGTACACAGGGGAAAAAGTATGAACTCACAGCTGAGAATACAGACAGCTTTGCTTCATCGATGTCTTGCTGACTGTAGGATGCTTCTACGGCCCACTCCACTGCTTTATCAAAGGTCTCCAACGTCTGCAGGGAATTGGGGTCTCTGTGTTTCAACATAAGAAGTGACTGTCTTCTTTAAACAATCATTCCACAAACACACTGTTCAAGAGTGAGGATTATAAAAGCCCAGAGGATAGGTTACCCAGGATGAACTTGATGTTAATTTAGACTTGTAGGTTTAAATTGCAGAAAATCAGAGAGTTCTGCAGAAGCACAACGTTTCTCTTTCGTGGGTATGATTCTGAGAATTGTTGCACTTACGCTTTGAGCAATATCCTCAGCTGATCTTCTCGTAGACACACAACGATTCAAAACTTTAAGTGAGCCATTTCATTGAAGAGTTACACACAATTCACACTAGACATTATGTATACAGTTACTACTATTGCCATAGATAATAGCCATTATCTATGATTTTTTTTAAAATCAGTTTGTTAAAAACTCCTTCTATTTTGGTTGGTTTCTTTGCCTTGTTTACCTGTATGAGAAGAACTTGAAAGAACCCTCAGTTCCGAGGGTTGCCCCGCTTCCGTAGGCACCACCCTTCTCCCTGTGCAAGAAAATTATTATTATTATTTTTTTTCATGACTGAATCTGAGGTACAACGTTAAAGCAATGTCTCACGCAATACCAAAACCAACTTCATTTTCACATGCGTACAATATTTTTGTATAATACTGACAATCTAAAATACAAAATGCTTTCAAAACATGAAATGCCCAATTCATTTCTACTTTACTTATTGTCACTTATGACCGGCTTGTGATGAACTCGACTACAGCACTGCTATAAAAAAAAAAAAGCACTTCAAAGGATATCAGCACTTATATCATCTACTCCTTTTTGTGACTACGCTGCATACCTGATTTCCCTGTGCAGGAATTTCGCTGACATCAGCCTTGCCAATATTCTCAATCTGTTGGGAAAACAAACCGTCAAAACTCTGAACTTTATTAAACTTCTGCTTCAGGCATTCTAGCATATATGGATTCCCGATGAACCATTGGTCATAGAGAATTTTGAAGTTGAACAAAGTTGACCGGAGCGAGGTTTGGACCTGCGACCACAGCACTGCTGTTCTGGTGACTTTAACAGTAATCCAGCCCTGTGCAGATTACATGAAAACAAATTAGACAAATATACTCGACATCATGGCACAAAAACATTCCAGAAGATTTCTAGCATCAAAGAAAGAATTCACAAGGCTACACTGACGCCATGGTACATCAATTTCCCCATTTTGCACAACTTGAAATTGCTTACCAATTTTGAATACAGCGCAAAATCGAATTACTAGCGTGGGTAAATAAAATCTGAAAAATGCTAGTTTTAATACACAACCTATTCTTAAAAACAAAAGTGAAGAAACTCACTTGGCAAAATCTGTGTGAGTGTACGGTACGGCCTGTGTTCCTCTGCTGACATAGTTGACGGGAAAAGGAAGCTCAAAATGCGTCCATTGACTCTTGGAATTGAAGCCATCAATCTGCAAGACCAGATTACCAACAAAATTAAATTGTAATGCTTATCTTTAACGCTTTCCATCATATCAACAATCTTGAAGCATTTCACGTTGTCTCATCAGGCCACGAGACCATGCGTCAGCTGATTTCAGTGCACATTTGGTCCTCTACCCTCTCAGGTACCCATTCATACTCCTGGGTGGAGAGAGGCAATTGTAGTTAAGTGTCTTGCCCAACACCATATTCCTGGCAGGGTTCGAACCCACGCACCATCGTACACGAGTCAAACACCGTAACCACTGGACCATGGCATTTTACAATTCAGAGTTGTCACATTCAAGGGAAGAAGTGGAAAATTTCAGTCAACTTTGTTTTTGACAAACAAGAAATGAAGTACTCCCTCAAGAGCAACTTATTGATTCGAATTTGCGTCAGCAAAGCGCAAAACCTTTTGGGTGGAAAATTAGCTCAGATATCACTTATTTTACCTCTTTCTCAAATGAAGTCTGCTTTTGGCAAAAGTAAAGTTTTATGAACGTACATAATTCAAACAAAGTCTCAGAGAACAAAATTTGGTACCATGTCAAATAAATAACAAATAAGCACTAAACCCAAATAGATTATAACCCCTCTTAACAGGTAAAAGAGAGGAGTAGTGTCAGGAGGTTTCAGAGAGTGTAACATGAATCGTACTTCATTCTAGTCTTTAAGTTGAAGTCCCACCTTGGTCAACAGAGGGAGCCCTTTCTCCTGCGCAGCCCCCGGCAGGGTGCCAAGAAAACGTTGCAAGTGTCCCAATGCCTTGTCCATGAACTCTGGGCCAGAGTTTAATGCACACCTTCAAAGACATAAAAACAACTGTTCATTAACACTTTTCCCGATCCCTCCCTTAAAACACAACTTTGGACCCTAAATTTATCGAACGACCCATCTATCTGAATCCTTAAGGCGTGCCCAGTACAGAGTGGAAGCCCAATTAGGAATACGCTCCCTGAGGTCTAAAAGCCAAATGATGTTCAACTGATGAATTTTCGAGAGGTTCACTCTCTACTTACCTCATGTTGTTTTTGTTAAGAATCAACCCAGCGGCTTGTCTCAGTTTCTCCATGGTGTCTGTCAAGTCCGACGACTCAGCTATCCTCTTCATGAAACTCACCTTCGACAAAGAGTTAATAAGATTCCATGTGAATTTATAGAAAGAAATATTTTTATTTTCGGAAACTTGATCCAATTGTATCTATAATCTATCTCCTCTGAATTTTTTTTTAACCGCTTCGCGTCGGGATTACTTTTGCCGAAAATTTTCCAGCCAACGTCTGATATACAGCCTAATGCCACAAATACTGATTCACAAGAGTCATTTCAACACCATTTGTACGATATTTTTTGCCGAAGCCTCATATGTTTCAATACCCTGGGGCGTGCACTGGAACGCAAATTGTAGAACAAAAGACCATGCACAACGGCCAATTCAAGATCAACACACAGTCTGCCTCCACAGACTTCACGGACTTTGTGTGTGTGTATAAAGGACACAAGGAATTAGCGTGTTTAGACGTCATCCGGATGTGAGTCGAGGCAATCTTGACGTTATAACCCGTCAGCCGTGCCTGTATATAAAAACATCCAGTGTGTGTTTTGACAACCTCCGACGTGACGTGGTTAATATATATTTTCTAGACAGCCCAATTGACCATTATCAGAATTAGAAGCAATGATCGCAAAAATTCATTGTTTGAAAAATTAAGGCACCAAAGGTTTCCCCCTCCAGAAGTTTAACCGTAGTTACGCCACTGGCTGCCCTGTTTTCTGACTAAGTATCTTGGTGACATGTTCAGGCAAAGTTTGGACGCGTCCAAAGTGTTCTTTTACCTGTGCCATACCACCACATATTTCCTGGATTCTGCCAACCGGTGAGAGCGTACTACCAGCGTGCTTCATGGCATAGGCATGTCCCATATCCGGTATGGACATAGCCAGCTCCGAGGCCCTCATGCGAACCAGGGTAGTGAGTCTGTCCATATCATTTAGGTTGGGGCTGACAAAAAGAACATGAAGGAAAACTGTTAAAGTTAAAATTGTTATACTCTTAATTTAAACCTCAAACTGAGGTTTGTTTAAAGAAATTCTTACAGTTTATTATATTATATCAAATTTAATTTTAGTTCTCCATACCTCGCTTTAAACATTCAATGCGGCTTCTAAAAGGTTAATGCAATTTCATTTTTCGCACTGAATATACATGTACATGTAGCTGACTTACTTGTCCAAAATCTCAGGCACACTTTACATGAACATGAAATTGTACACGTGTACACTTACTACTTTGCTACGTTTTAGTTTCAACAATTTTGATGATCTGAAATTGTATGGTGATTTTTTTGGGGGGGGGGGGGGTTTCGCTCTTACTGTAAAGTGTAAACTGTCAAATTATATACCTATTGAAGATGTCACTCCACAGGTTGAACATGTCTTCAAAGTTTCTGTCAAGACTGAATGAAGTCAAGCTTACTCCCTTCGGGGGAAAAAACAATAAATAAATACAATTCTTACTTACACAGCGGTAATCAAATAAAAAAACACTGACCATGTCGGGTCTTTATATGCTTTTAAGACTAAATGTAGTCTTGCTTACGAAACTCCCTGAATCTTCCAAATTTAACCATGTTGAAGGAACTAATGGCATATTCTTTGTTCCATATATTTACATGGCACGATCAAGGCTAACTAAGTAATAGTGGCAGGGCTCCACCTTCTTATTAGTCTGAGTATCACCGGTCATTCGCGGAGCCCAGTCTCTTGTCTAACGTCTGATACATCTAAGCATGCAGATTTATGTGATCCCGTGCCTCAGCCAATTGGGGTCGACTTTACTAAATCGTGACGTCATTTCATTCCCAAATCAGGACTAAATGTTTTGATTGGTCAATTCGAATGCAGTGTTTTGTAATACAACAATGGCCGGGCGCGTGCCGTGTAACATAATACAGAGTGCGTGACCACATGCTTTGTTGCTGTATCTAGTTTTTTTTTATCCATGTATATGACGCGACAACGGAATGACCGAAGACCCGATATAGAAAGCGCCTGCTGATTGGTCAAAATCTAGAGGTCAAGATGCAGTTGTCTTGCATAATTAATCAGCAAATCTGCTCAAATATTATGGCTTTGTCATGGTCTATTACATAGACTACCTTCTTATAGGGTTCACAGCACTTTATGACAACAACATTCCCTGAGTTTTACCTATATTTCCTACAAGGTTGTTTTCCCTATATTCCCTACAAGGTCGCTAGGAAGTCAAAAGGTGGTTGCAGCAAAGCAACTAAGATACTGATTAATACAGAGGCAAATTGTTGACAAGCTTTGGCCTCCCTTCTCCCCTTATAGTCATCCTTTCCTAACCAAATGCATTAGAGACGCAGCTTTCCCTTCTGGGTCATTGTCGAGTCCCCTGGGTTCCCCTGATTGTTAGTGTTTTCCCATATTCCCTAAGTTTCACCCGACTGGAAAAATGAAAACTCTTATTCAAAAGGTTTCCCCAGATTCCAAGAGTGGTTGGGAACCACGTAGCAGGGTGGGAGTTAATAAAAACTACTGATCAATTAAAGCCTTGACAAACCCACAACTTGAAATAAGTTATGCTTAAGCACACGCACAGAAGCATGAACAGCAGTAAAACTAAAACGTTTTTTTTTTAAATACAAATTTACCTGTTCTATTGATGTCATGTCATTAGGATCCTGGCAGACATGGTGTGAGATGTTCAAGCCTCCGGTCTTCAGCTCCTCCTTCTGTGCAAACTCATTGAACGTCATGTCTGCTGCCCCCATTCTATTGATAGACGTAAGCAAATGGAAGACCTCAAGTGTTATGTACCGTCAAGGGACAAATGCTTTGTACAATACAGTGGAACATCGCCATACCAAACACCGCAATACCAAACATTCGGCTATACCAAACATCGTTCTTGGCTCCCGATTTTTGTGCACAAAACCAACCGAGCGTTGTTGTTAAAAAATGTCAACAGAAGAGTGACAAGTGGCTAGTATTTCCTGAAGGAAAAGAAGGGGGAAGCCACCCATTGCTGTAGGTAGTAAAACTGTAATGACATAATTCAGTTGTCGGCACCTGTTCAAAGTCCTTTTTCAGTAACTACCTGAGGACGTGCAGGGTGAAATTCTGAAGTGCGCTATTTATTGAAAAGTGAGTACCAGAGCACTGGCAGCTGCAAATCGCTAAACCAAATGATCATTATTTCGATCGTTTTCAGTGGATCCTGCGATGTTCATTATAGCAACGTTCCACTGTAGTGTGCACAACAGTTTCCCCATTGAAGCGGGCCTCGTACATTAATACCGTGATTGCATGCCGGATTCGTCTATAAACAAAATGTGCTTATTTTAGCATCCTCAAAAATGGGTGACTAAATTACTTAAGATTTACAGTGTATTGCAGATTGTATCTCCACCATCAAAGAAATAAAATGTTCACATCTCTGAAACAAAAACTCTGGAATCAAATCACTGTCTTAAGAGTAAAAGTTAACATAATCTCTTCCTTACTTTGTTATAACAGCACAGAAGAGTGGAATATAAGGCATGAGATCCTCCGGGATGGATCGCAGGGTCGATACAGCTCGGAAGTAAGTTATACCGTTGGTTGGTTGCTCACAACATTGGACGTGAATTCCATCTAGAAGCAAGGCCAACGTAATTGATAGAATAACCACTTTTCACGGTAACTTATGACGTCAAAGAACCAGTGACCATCCAATTTTTCCATGAACAGCCACCATTGCAGTAGGCAAGCGTTTGGTTAGCAACTACATCTTGCATAAACAGTAAGGTTTATTTTCATGTAAATTAACCACACATTCTTTATCACATGGCACAATGGTTACTACCTGTGCCGTGTACGGTTGTCATAATCGTGCCGACCAAGCACTGGGTGTTGGCTCTGCGTTTTTCTCAAAATTTTTGCCATCAATCACAGTTTTAAAGGCTTGCCTACTACCTACTGTGTGTGGTGATACGATCCTTGTCTACTACAATGGTGACGCTGACTTTCCAGTACCCAGATGAAGACCAGGTCAAGTGGGTCAGTGAGAGAGCCCCATCTTGCTCATGAGGAAAATACAGTTGCACACAGGCATTGCTAAGTATGCACCGTCAATCAAAAACGTTTGCGTTTCCAAGTCATCATGCGTTCATTCCAATATGCACTTGCACCGAGCAAATCATGTTCTTTTAGAAGAAATGTTTTGCCAATTCAAGAATACAATAAATCTGAAGCAAGTTATTGAAAAAATAACCTGTTGAAATTTCAGCTCAGTAGATATCATACTTTTTTTAGAAAACTTTAAAAATGCATCTTCAATTTTTCTTTGATTCAAAGCATAGTTTTCCATTGAAAGCAAGATGGTTTGGTCCGAACCATAGCAAGGAAATGGTGGTAATTCCTCTTTTCTCGAACATGACAGCATACTAGGTGCAGCGATTTCACAGGATGCACGATCCTATTATTTACTTACATCCAAGTAGGGTATTTCATGATATTTTGACAGTTTCATTTCTGGATGTTTGCAAATCGTTTCCGTTACCTTTGAGGAAAGGAAAGACTGTATTGTTTCTAGAGGTCAAATGTCAAAGGTCAGTTCACTGTACCGAGCAGTTCAGGTTTTACACAGCATGATGACTCACCAGTCTGCTTGAATTCTAGTGTTGTTCTCTTCAATTCCGGCTCAATGTCAGACACCTTCAGTGTAGGTAAAACCGCAACGTCGTCTTCTTTGTTTTGCTCCTCCGCTAATTCTTGACCTGCAAATACCAGGAGAAAATGGAAATACTTTGGCACATTTTTAGTTATTAAATTATTACTTTAAAATGTCAAATTATTGGCCGCCAGACACTAATTCCATTCTCATGGGGTGGGCTGGTTCCCGCCCTACAATAAGTATCGATAATGTACGGACCACGCGCCAGCCCGCTCGCTAAATGGATCTGTTTGTGCCCAAAACAAAACTAAATTTGTCCGAGGGTTGCAGTTGTCCAAATAAGGAAGAAAGGAGGCTTTCTTGGTTGAAATAAAACATTCAAGTTGAAAGTTTGTGATTTTTGAGACAAAATGAAAAATATCCTCCAAACCTTCTTTTGAGTAATTGGCGCCCAAAGTTGAATATAGTAGAAAAATCTTGTCAAAATCAATATTGCTTTATTTGTATTTTTGAGTAGCCAAAGTATAAAAGATTCACACTATGCATTTCTTGTTTGGAAAAAATACCTCCAAAAGTGGAAAAACTGAAGAACGTTTTTCACTGCCGTTGGTGGCACAATGCATATCTTTTTTTCAAAGCCGTTTTTTCTCAAAATTAGGTCGGTGAAGTTTGGCGGGACACTTTTGAGGCTCCTGCGGCATATGATTGGAATAAATTAAGCTACAGAAATAAATTTGGTATCATTGGAAAGTCAATGATTTGCACTTAAACATGATGTATATTACTTGAAAAGTCAAAGGTGGGAGTTATTCCTCATTATGCTGTATTCAGGTCACATTTATTAATAGAAATCAAATCAAATTTGTTGAACAGCACAGGAACGCAACAGAAACTTACCCTTAACATAAATATCCTTTCGGTCCGCTTGGCTCAACCCTGACACCATACCCTCCAGGAGCCTCTTTTCCTCTTGGTCTAACTCCTCGTTGTAGTCCTCCTTGGGGGTCATGACTAAGCTCAGTCGGTGGTTGTTCCTCAGGAAGTACTCCTCCGTCTTATCCTGAAGGAATCTGGGATTCTCGGCCAGGCACGTCTGGAAGCGCTGCACGTTCTCGTTGACGCGCAGGATGTTGGCCAAGTCGGCGTCGTGATTCCAGCTCTGCATCAGGGACTACGAGAATGCCGACAGGAGGAAATGTTTAAATCGGGGTTTCCATGGAAATCTTACAGTGAAATTCAATGACTTTTCCATGACTTTTCCAGGACAAAATGAGGGAATTCCATGACTAATTCCTGCATTTTCTGGGTTTCTTAGGAGCCTATTTAAAATTCAAAGACATGTCATCACGCTGAAGCAAGGGACGCTATTACCTTTCAGACTCTAAGTTTGACAGCAGACTTGAGTGGTATGCACAAAAAGGAAGTACTACTATACTGGAATGCAAACTAGAAGACTGATGTAGCCAAATATTACGCATCATCAGGTATGATTGTGCAGGATTGCATGACTTTTTTGCGACTTTTTTTCCCAGAAATATCAACTTTTCATGACTCCTTGTCAAAACAACATTCGATGACTTTTCCATGACTTTCCAAAATAGCTTTAAATTTAAGGATTTGCCACGGTTCATATCACAATCCGCGTATCATGCTATTCTACGATGCGCGCTCCATTCCTACTGCACACACATGTACATGTAATAGGATAACCAATGAAAAAATGTGTTTAGGCCCACAAGACGCTCGTGTTCCATCTTTACTGTGCATCAAGTTTGCTTGATGATAAATTCGTTATCCCTCTTGCACTCATTGAACACGGAAAATGTAGTGCGTCTGTGTTCCATATGGGACACAGGGGCACAACATGATTACATGTTCCACTCGCACTCGTGAGATAACTCAACACATAGAATAGCAGAGAGAAGATTACTAGGCTGTTAAGACAAGCAGATGGCGTGCAGAGGAACAGCCTTTAAAAAAAAAATCAAGGGACACATAACTGCAATAATAGATCAACAGATACAAAAAAAAAGTCTTGACTCACGGCTATAAGTTGCAGGCCAAAAGTTGTCGACTGGTGTTTCTGAGATATCTCAATTTTATGAAGTACTGCATCGATTCTCTCCTTCTCAAATCCAGTTCTGAAAGCAAAATGACGTCAATATTACAGCGGGTTATTTGCGTGAGTCCCATCTGGGAAGGCTTGTGAACTTTTCTCAAAAGCTCTTAGACAGTTCTGAATTTACAGTGATCCTTAAAGTACAAGTATGTCATTTTAGGAAAAACTAAAAATTAAAACGTTAAAACTATAGCACCATTTTACTGAATCCACAAACTTATGCTAATTTTCAAGCAAATAAGCCACATGTTCTAGTAGCAGGCAAAGGGTAATTTCTGGAGTCATGTAAAAAGCTCAAGGTGAATGTGTCTGCAGGTGTGTAGCCAAGAAATCTTTTAAGATCTATCAATGACATTACAGCCTGAAAGGAGCATGTATCTTCAAAGACCCTAATTCTCAAAAAATTGCTACATGTATAGAACAAAGACACTTTGAATGACTTAAAGCTTTGCATGGCGGATGAGATAAAGTAGACCGATTGCGGGTAACACCATGTGAAAAGTAATCTCTGCTTGAAAGAAGTGTGCTTCTGAAAACAACCAAAACTTCGAGTTCTACATTCAACCAACCGGTTCTTTTCAGAAACATACTTATTCCAAGGAGATATTACTTTCCACATGGTGTTACCCGCAATCGTTTACACTTTGAAGTCTTTATTTCCTATACTTTTTAACTACCATTTACAGTATTTTCCCACTTCAATTCTGTGAACATTGAGAGATTGATCAAAAGCTAATTTGATTTAATAATGAAGATGATTTTTATTTCAACTTACTCGACAACCTTTTTTAACGTTTCGTGAATGATGCTCTTAACCTGCTCCACATCTTTCTCGTTTATACCTTGAAGACCGACAGAGAACGAGGCGTCTTTGGTACTTCCATCGTAACTAAAATGGAGAAAAGGATCAGCACTTCCGTAAAGCTGGTTGAGAATTTAAACTTACATTGGAATAATAGGAACTATAACTTCATAAAACATTCCAGTTCAATTTACATAACTGACATCCTGCATAATGAGTACACGTTTTCCTTTAGTTGACTTCCCATCCTTATAAGATGGAATTTTGCGTCAGGGTGATATAAATCAAATTAGGTTTTGCCCTTCAAGACATCTGCACTAGAAACCAGGAGGTTGTGGGTTTGAGTCCCACCCGAGTGTTTTTGTTTTTGTTTTTTGTTTTTTGAACTTTCACTCGGGAGGTAACACACTGAGTATACAGTGATTAAACGTCGGTGAAGGGCAACAACCTAATTTGATTCCCATCCTTATTTATTTATTTATTTATTTGTGTGGCACCTACCAACACAAATGCATTGAGAAGACTTCAATAAAAAACTTTTTATTTTTTTTTAATGTTCTTGTTAACATATTCTGCAAAATTGTGTACGCCCCTCAAAAAACTGTTCAGTCTTTCTAATCTAGTTTACAAATAATACCTTTTGGCAACATCGACAAATGAATACTGACTGTTTCCAATGATGCATTAAACAAATACAGGAAAGGTAAAAACAGCAGCATTTACAGCAGCTTTTCTGACAGCAGTGACAAGGCAGACGATACAGTTCTGTGGCAGTTTACAACCTCTTCAGTCCCTAAATTAAATAACAATAACATTTTTAGATAAAGATAGGCAATTTACCCCAGTACAGGTGAGTAGTCGGATCCAATGTTGGCCTGCAACAGTGCTTGGTAGAAAGGAGACGTGGGACCAGACACCAGAAGATGAGACAGGATAGACATAGTGAATCCTTCAAATGAGTCTGTCAGGCTGGTGGAGAAAAAAAACCCCAAAAACAAAACTAGTAGATTCTCATTACAATGCCCTTTGCATGCATTTGATTCCAATATAACAAAACTTACATAAATAAAGAGACATTGACAACATAAAAACATACATGTTAGGGATGGTTAGCTCAGCTGGTAGAGTGCCAGAACCGTTTTTTGGAGGTCGTGGATTCATATCCTGTTCGTCTATTTTACTGTTTAAACTTTAATTATTACAATTATAAAGGCATGTAGGATCATTTGCATTTGTCCCAAAAGTAACCTATCAAATTATCATCAAAAAGCCTCACTTGGATCGAAGATCGTACTGGTACTAAACACCCTGTGAAATTATATCGTCTGGCTTGCTGTCATTTAGAAGAAATCAAGAAATGAAGGTGATTTCCAACGATCAGTCAATGAACTGATTTTGATAAAAAGCCAGTGCTATTGACAAATTTTCCGTGATCAAAAGACTGTGTATGGTTTTTCACTGTTTTCTCAAAAAGTGTAATATCCACTGAGCTGAAACTTCAACAAGTTAGTTTTTTAACAATCTTCTTTGAATATTAAGTGTTGTTACTGTTGCAAACAAACAAAATGCATAAAAAACAAATGATCCTATTTGCCTTTAAATATTGAAAGACCAATTGTGGACAGCACACATGTGTGAATGGATAATTTCTCAGGTTGGCGCAGTGATTACTTTTCTTGCCTTCCATCGCTATGGCCCGGGTTCGATTCCTGCCCGGACAACATGTGGATTGGGTTTTCAGTCCCTACCCGATTCCATGGGTTTTACCCAGACTATTCTTCTAGGGTTTTTCTCCCATGTCTAAAACAGTCATGCCTCCTCTCTACAGGTTTCTTCAGGCTTTCGAGCTACAGTGCCTAGGGCACTTGTTAGGAATCCTTGGTTTCATTTCCAGAAAGTAAACAAATAAAAAAAATATATAGATGATGGTCTTGTTATATTTACTTGTTGAGAAGGAAGCTGACGCTGACTGTAGTTTGTTTTTCTGGGTCAGCTGCCATCGCATCAGGAGCACAGTGCACATGCTTCTCTCTCTGTTGAAAAAAAAAGAATACAACTTAGTCAACCAACAACTTCACGTTGGAATTTATGAGATTTTTTCACGAAATTTATTCGAGAAGCCAACTGATATTGCAGAAAATGTTTTGTGTTTGCTAAACCAAATTAAGTAAAAACAAGCAGAAACTCTTTTGAAGAAATTTCTTGGCTTTAAAAAAATTTAAAATGTGATATTTATTTAAATGTGAATTCTGATAAGCTTTTGATAATTGTTTTATAAAACCTACTTTAATTCCAATGTTTGTGCTATGCTGAAGGGGATGTGAATAAATGTTGAATTGGAATTGAAAACTTGTATTGAAAATGATTGGAGAAAAACAGGTCTTGTTCTTACTGGCTGTGTCCAGCGTACTTCGTTGGGTACCTCTGTCTCTGGTGTGATTGGAGAGAAAGATCCTAACGCCTGCTGCTGGATGACCTCTAGGTGACCTTCCAACGGCAGGTCACCATAGGTGAAAAACCTGAATGAAAACAACAGCGACCACATGACCAATTTTTACACTGGCGCTACTCCGATGTGGAACAATGTCATCACACAAGCTCACTTCTTTGAAGCTGATATTGGTTGATGCAATAGCAACAAAGTACTTTACAAATGTTGAGTTGACTGCTTCGAATAACATTATACAAATATTGAGTGGATCAGCGTGGAATGGGAGAAATATTATCGCAAGGTAAAATGTGGACTTTTCCAATTCACGAGGCAAAGCCGAGTGAACTGGAAAAGTCCAGATTTTACCCAGTGATAATATTCCTCCCATTTCACAATTTAAAGCCACTCAATATTTGTTTTATATAACTGACATATAGATCCTTGTCATTTGATATATTTGAACTTTTATTTCAATACAAAATTGGTGAAAAACATATTTCTCTCTTTCAAACCACCCCTTCACGAAAATGTTTGAACCCAACGCTGATTGACTTGTGACTGACATGTGATTGACTTGTGATTGACTTGTGACTGACACGATTACGTCTCTGTTATCAGATTGACTACCTGGAGTTGCTGGGATGGTAGTGAGTGGCGTGGAAGTCTTTCAACTGTTCCCAGGTCAGACGTGGGATGTGCAGCGGGTCGCCTCCGCTGTTATGAGAGTAAGTGTGACTTGGGAGGAGGTTTCTCTGACAGTGGAGGGCAAAAATCTGCTCCGGGCTGGTCTGAAGAAAAAAAAGTGGAAGTTTCAAAGTTAAAAGATGACAGAATGGTTAAAAATGAAGGGAAGTCAGATGTACGTACAGTTTCCTAAAGACAGAATTTTGCGTGTCTAGACTGCAAGTCAACAATAAAGGCACATTTGATTGGCTTTTCTAAAAACGACTCTAACACCCCCCCCCCCCAATTTTTTTCAATAAATTGCAAAGCCTAGTGCAAATGATTGATCAACTGCTATGGTTTAATTCAATGCTGACAACCTGTACAAATAATAACAAAATAGTGAGATGAAATCATTTTTGCTAACTGTCCTCACTGAATTTCATGACAATCATAACAGTGCGCACCATAGATAGGGCCATGCCTCAGAACCGGGTACCCGAATGCCCGACCGTTGATGTCAGGAACCCGTTCCAGATTATGGGATCGGGTACCTGCAACCAACTTTCCAAATTACTAAGTAACTTCTCAGACAAAAAGAAAGGTTTTGAATGTCGGTTACCCGGTTCCCGTACTACTTGTAAATGCTCACCCCTAACCATAGAGCCTAAATAGAGTTCCAAATAATCCCACTGCCTTTTTGTTGGTTTATAATACTAGACTGTTGTCTACCAACTTCCACTGTTTATCCAATTTGCCAGTGTTTACTTTCAACTTTCTGATAATTTGCACTGCCCTCTTTCTCTTAACATCTTTATATGAATAGGGGTAACTTTACATGATGTATAACTTACCATTGCCCCTTTCATTTCATTGAAGACCACCCCTTTGAAGATAATGGGAGAGTCTGGATCTATGTTGTCTTCATTCTCAAGTCTCCAGCCTTCTTGTCTTAAAATTCGAAGAGGAGTTTAATGCACAAAAAGTTACTTCTACTACAAAATATTTAAACAGTCATTCTTTGTCCTATTTTCCAGCTTCATCACGAGTCACACAGAAATATTATACATGTGTAACAAGAAAATCATGAACATAATGTAACACAAAAGTTATGGTAAGCTATTAAAATAATTAATAATCAAAATAAAAACAAAAACATGAAAATTTACCTGAAGTCTAGTTCCCTGAGTCTTGGAAAGAAAGCTGCATCGAGGTAGACTGACAATAGATTACTGAAGTCTTTGGGGTTCTGACTGGAGAATGGATACATGGTGTAGTCACTTGCTGTAATGGTTGAAAAAAAATTGAATTGTTTAAAAGTCTCAGTTGCAGTTATCCGATGCTGAATTTCAATCATGTTTTTAATCTCAACAAGCAAAAAGCAAACTTCCACATGCAGTTACTCATGTGGAAATTAGTAATGGAAATTTGTGAGACAATTACTTGTCATTAATGTAAGCACGGTCTGGTTATTCGATATGATTTTGATATCGATATCGCCGATAGCAATTTTTTTAAGCATATTGAAATATCGAAATGTTGATATTTGAGGAATCATATATTGAAAATATCGAAAAACGCATCACATTATCGTCAAAATAAACCTCCCTATTGTGGGTATACTTTGTATTTATTGTTTGCTGGATAATGAAATAAAAGTCGCGGCGAATTGTGCTTGTGACTCAAAATATAAAAAAATTGGGAAATACCAAGCGGCGTCGCTTTGTGCTCTGCGTTTTCTGGAATTTGCAGTTTTCCCCAATGTAAATCTATAAAAAAAAAAAAAATTAACACAAAACAAACTCATTCATTTGTACCTGTCCACGCATTCATGAATGTCGCTAGGGACCTATTTAACATCTTGAAGAAGGGATCTCGGCAGGGGAAGCGTTGGGACCCGCACAGCGTAGTGTGCTCCAGAATATGAGGCACTCCGGTGCTATCCATGGGTGTAGTCCGGAATCCCACGCTGCACAGCAAAATATTGATGACAAGATTTACGTTTTCAAACAATGTTTATTTTTTCACTTTCATAAGTATCCAAAACTGCACCTCGACAAAAATGCATGACCAACATCCATTTCTCATTTATTACATGTCGTCACTTAAGCAATTGAAAATGATTCGACATTCTTTTTATCTGTCACACATAAAAATCGCTAAATGAAAACCCAACCTAAAGCAAAACTAACAAAAATTGCTGAAAAACAATATTTCTGAACTTCTTTTAGAATGAGTATTACACACTTTTTGATCCAAAGCTTTAATTTGAAATGGGGAAATTTGTGAATCCTGTCCATTTTCTGCTAAAGCCTAAAACAAGAGTTTCAATGCATTTAAACTAAAATTGAAAGAGGGTGCTCTGCTCCCACCAACAGGTAGGATCATCCCAACTACAGGTAGGATTGTTCAAACTGTTGGGACTTCCCCAATTATTGTTGGGGCTGGCTTAACAAAAGTTGGCACTGTTCTTAATAATACAAATAATAACAATACCGGAGTCTTATGTAGCACACGCATCTACCAACAATTACATGTAGGCGCTGGAAATTATGTCTATTATTGAAGACAGGTAAATGAAGTTTAGGAGAAATATGAGACCCATTATGTAGCACCTTATGAGGGTTTACAAGGTGCAGTGGCGCATATTGCAGCCACTGCCAGAAACATCGAGGCAACCCCTTCTCTTAGCGATAAGTGTTACTGGGTTCTTAAGCGTGCACTGCATTACACAACACACGGAAAATTGGACCACAGCATCCCCAGTATGACTTGGGACAAATGCCATAGTTGGAATGTAACATTACCATTATTACTCCTCTAGAACTATCCAGAATCATCCAGTGTTCAGGAGCAAAGGCACATTCCTTGTAGCCCCAAGTGATGTTACAGTTAGCTGTGCTCTGCCTCCCTCATCCCTACAGAATCCTCAAAAAGCTCCCGATAGATTTTCAAGGATCCGGGAGGCCAGAGTTCACGATTAATTTACCTGAAGACATTATTGCTGTCCTGCCTTGCCACGTGCAGGTGCTTAGCTCGTGTGACGTCATGGCTCAATGTGACTGCTGTCAGATATAACTCTGGCACTGGTATGACCTAAAGAGGTGAAGGAGAAAATTGGGCAGAGGGATAATGCTCTTAAAATCAAGCTTCCCACCTGAGACATTTAAGCTGTAATTAAGCCCGAACCCCCTTCAGGTTTTATTCCTGTACACTGCAAAATACAACAAAATTCAACACGCTTGAAATGAGAACCCTGCTAAATGCAACACACTGCAACAGTGGATTCTGTTGCATTGTGTAGTGAACAACTGTCCAGAACACACCTGCCTTTGTACTTTGCAGTTACCATGTGTGAATGCAACAAACTGCAACAGTGCATTCTGTTTTTACAGCCTTGTTACTATGGGTGGTTATCCTGCTAACTGCAACAAGATGCAACGCAACATAAGAATTGACTGCTAAATGCAACAGTATGCAACAAGTTTTTACCATTGTTGATTTCTGTTGCCCTTTGCAGGGTTAATTTATGAGCAATACCATGAAAGAAAGTGTAATGGCCTTGAATAAAAGTACAAACCAGAATTAGCACTTTATAGAACTTTACCATTGGACATGCAACAAACTGGAACATTGGATTCGGTTTTACCGCCTTGTCACTATGGACAGTAACCCTGCCAAATGCAACAAGATGCAAAGCAACATGGGACATGATGCAACAGTGTGCAACAAGCATTTACCATTGTTGCTTTCTGTTGCATATTTGACAGGGTTAATAATATGGTTAATAATATGAGCAATTCCAGCATTATGAAAGGAAGTGCCATGTACACACCAGACTTGGCAGGTTGCAATTAACTTGTGAAATGCAACAATCTGCAACGGTGGATTTTGTTGTATCGGTTACACCTCTACCCCTATGTTCCGACTGCACATATTCCTATTCCTAACCCTAACCCTAACCGGGAGTAACACAATCTAGGTTGTCAGAACATAGGGGTGTCGGAACATAGAGCAGTCACCGTTGTATCGGCCTTGACACTTTGGGCAGTTACCCTGCTAAATGCAACAAGATGCAACGCAACATGGGACTTGACTGCTAAGTGAAACAGCTTGCAACATGTTTTCATCAATCTTTCTCTTTCTGTTGCATTTAGCAGGGTTAGGTAGTATGAAACATTTACCAATTTGAAAATTACATGTTTAAGCAACCTGAAAGGTACAATTATGTAAAACCATGCTTTTAAATGTTTAAACCACAGATTTCTTTCTGGAAAGGAATTAACGTTTTGTTGTAACTTAAAACCTATAGAGTTACAAGTAAATCACCTCTTCAACGGTAAAGCCATGAATTCTTTGGCCTGGCTGGTATCTTTCTGCAGCCTTCAATGCTGATGCCGAGGAATACAACCGATGTGGTTTATGTCGCCCAAATATCTGCCACCTGGAAATGCCATGAAACACTAAAGTAACAATAACTACAACTAAGGAAAAACCATTGTTGGAGTAAATAATGTATGACTGTGTACATTAAATTTGCATAATAATCTCCACTCTGCTTTGTGCCTTTTACTAGCACTAAAGCCAGGGCACTTCTTCACCATGCGCCATCCACCATTGCCCCCCCCCCCCTTGGAATTGGTTATCCCAAAATCAGAATTCTTTCCACTACATTATGTCTTATGACTTTAATGTATCGCATAGTCTTATTTACCCCCAATTTTCTCCACTCTACTTTCATGACTTTTCATCATTGTGAATCTTTTCCCTAGTCTAGTCATAGTTCCTTGCTCTATGGTCTAGTCATGGAGGAATAAGAACCCATGGTCTAGTGTAGTGACCTTTCGTTGCCACAGTACAATTATTTAAGTACGGCCAAAGAACTGAAGGATGCAGCTAGCTAGACTCGCCAATGACAAGAATGTTCTCTTGTTATGTTGCGCCTTTTTAAGAATTAGCGCTAAATCTGGAAGATTTTTTGGTACAACTATAGAATGCAGGGCCACTTCACTCTACATCCGCGACTCCGTACGGCTGCGTGGAGGCGTGGAACCGCAGTCGACCTACCTCCGAAAATCGATCGTGGAGTCGTGGAGCCGCAGAGAATTGCGCCCTCTATCGGTGCGTGTCTCTCCGACTCCGCGACTCCGCGCCTCCGCCACCAGTGTATAGTGCCCCGCGTCACGCAGAGAATTGCGCCCTCTATCGGTGCGCGTCTCTGCGACTCCGCGCCTCCGCGCCTCCGCCACTAACACTCCAGTGTATAGTGCCCCGCGATTCTGCGACTCCAAGACTCCGCGCCTCCGCCGCTCCAGACAGTGCCCCGTCGCCCTCCTCCCTTCCTAATTGGCCCGCCCATTTAAAGCGATTCTGCGACTCCAAGACTCCGCGCCTCCGCCGCTCCAGACAGTGCCCTGTCGCCCTCCTCCCTTCCTAATTGGCCCGCCCATTTAAAATGGATATGGATGCTTCGTTCTCAAAAAAATTCCGCCGAGAATTGCACCCTCTATCGGCGCGAGTCTCTGCGACTCAACTCCGCGACTCCGCGCCTCCGCCACTAGCCACTCCAGTGCCCCGCGTCTCCGCGATTCTGCGACTCCAAGACTCCGCGCCTCCGCCGCTCCAGACAGTGCCCCCAAAACATTTACAAGCACGCCCTCCCTTCCGATCCTTCATGAGAAGCTTAGAAGACAAGTGCAGTGCATTCCTTCGCTGTACTTAGCACTTTTTTGCAGGTTTGCATATCTATTACTCCTATTCCATCCACGCCTCCAGGCAAAATAAAAAACCTTGCTTCGGCGTGGCCCTGCATTCTATAGTTGCTCCGATTTTTTTCCGAAAATTGCGCAGAAATCCAGTCGCGCAATCATAATGAACATGATGAATGCGCGTGCGCATTCTTATAATTGCGCAAATCACAAGTAAACACACAACATCATGACATCGGCATCGCCGGCCGCTCATGCGTGTCTGTAAAGGAAGGATGTCACGACGTACACTGTACTTTACCTTGTGCTGCATATTAATCGAGGGGAGATCCCTCGAACCCGCTGCATTCTGCTTCGAAAGTTACTTTCAACGTCAAAACATTTATAAAACCACTGGCTTGCGCTAAATCATTTTTTTTAGTGACGCAAACCACATGATTTTTCAGCCGCACATAGACACATGCTAAAATTTGGTTAAGATTCTCAGCTCCTGTATCGCATTTTACATAACAATAACAAAGCCACAATCTGGTACCTGACTAGCTGTTGAGAAAGATGGAAGCGCCCTCATTCGGCAGATAAAACTTTTGTATACAAACTTAACGCAGTAGTAAGCTGGACAGGGTGACCGTTTTAGCTGATTTTCGGATAACTTTGACTGAATTTTTGTTATAAAACGAGTTCGACAGAAAATTTGACAGAATGGATTTTTTTTGGCAGATTTCTGCAAAAAATGGTTATTTGACAGAAAAACAGCAAATTTGAACCAAAAATGGTACTGTGTTTTAAAAAAAACTTCAATCCTTTCAAACGAACCCTTGCATTATGAGACAGGTTGGCTGGTCTAGGTGCTGAGGTTCATTGGGAAACGGACTCTGTCGATTTCGTGGCTGGCTCGTTTTGCCCGAAATTTACGTGATAATTTCATAACATCTTTATGTGACTATAGATTGTTTATAATTAATTTGAACCTTAATAAAGGCAATACTACAACAGCTGCATGTAATTTTAATTGTTTATAGTGTATTTCGAGTAATTCTGGGGAATTTAGCAAATTTTTGATAAATCTGACCGATTTTTTATGTGCATTTAGCAGAATTTGGCTCTGACCTTACGGTCACCCTGAGCTAGGTCCATGCAGCATGTACATGTACATTGTACTAGCCCTTCTAAGAAAGGCCGTGATGTGGTTGTAATGAAGGGAATATTAAAATGTATTTAAAGGGAATATACATCATTTGCTTTTGCTGTAATTTTCAGAAATGGATGGAATTGGGGGTTGGAAATATAAAGCAAATATAGTTACACTGACTTTTTGGAGGTTTTGGGTTCGAAAATGCTATAAAAACCAAGAAAAACGATCATTTTCCTGTAGTCTGGTTCCCTGACTCCATATAAGAAGAAACAGAGCAGTTTACATACATTGGGGAATTGTAAGGTCAGGGAACCAGTCTAGCTGGCTCGTACCCGTTCATAGGTTTGTAATCGATTGCAAACAAGTGCAATGGTCAATTGGGGCCAGTATTTGAAAAAAAAGCCAGTTGTTTCCAACGCTGATCGGCCGATCAGCGTTGGAAATTGATACAAAAATACCACTTTTCTTGAAAATGACAGTATACCAGGTGCCATAATTTCACAGGATGCTTTAGACTGTCATTTACCAACATCCTATTAAGGTATTTCGCAAAAACTTGGTAGTTTTATTTTTCGATGTTTGCAAATGTTGTATATTCCCTTTAAACGAAACAAACCCCAGTATAAAAACCCTGATCATAAAGTGATGTAGCCTCATCACAATTTGGGGGTGTGGTGGGGGAGGGGGAGGAGCTAGGGCAGGCGCAAAATACTTTGCTTGGTCATTATTTTTCTCCTCAATGCATCACACACAGCAATTAATTCTGGGCATTATGGTGAAACCTGAACAACTCTAAGTAAAATTCACCCACTTAAGTTTGCATACAAACTCTGGAAGCACCATACCATTAACTTTGCATGAAGAAAAAACACCGCGTTTCAATTTATATTTTATTTTATACTCGTTACATTTTCATAAGCGTAGTACATGTAAGAAAACTTTTGAATACAATTAGTTTAAACAGTAGACAAACTATTTTTTCTAAATACTTACAATTCTCAGCACTTGCTCTGTAGTAATGATTTCCAAATACATATAGATACAGTTTATTACAAAAATAAAACGTTCAATAAAATATTTCAAACTTTTACACCCGGGAAAATTTGCATTAGGGCGAAATTAAGTGCGATCATTGTTTGACCTCAATACCTTAATTCAATCACTTTCATGTAAGTCATGTGTACACATTATATAAGCAAGCTTTTCACTTTAAAAAAAAATGGATTTCCTAAACTTTGCAAAGCTATGTTGGAATTCCGACATTGTCCATGTCTAATTCTGAATATTCCCAGATTCCCACGCCGAGTGTCATAATACAGTATTCCCAGCATGTTATGAAAACAAAACTTCCTACAAAATTTCCTGAATTTTTCTTCATATTTCCCAGAGATATTTCCAAAGTTTGATGAGAAAAATTTTCTGGGAAGATGGCTGGGAATAGAAGTCAACAGGTGGTTGCAGCAAAGCAACTAAGGATACTGATAATACACAGGCAACTTGTTGACAGGGTGTGTAAGGCAAAAAAAAAAAAATCTGTCTCTGGTCAGCGCACGCGTCGATTTTAATCATGCGCGTCAACCTTTTTTTTCTTCTTCAAATTAACACGGAAGCTCCAACAGCGCCCTCTATTGCTGCACCTCCTCAAATTTTTGTATCAAGGAGCACCAAGGAATGGGGAAATTGCACCAAGGCAAATGATAAAGGGCACCAAGGCAAATGATGGAGGACACCAATGTATAATGAGGACACAAAAAAGCAAAATAGTACCCACCTTGTCTGTACAATTGAAGCTTGAAAAAAAAAACCACCCCCCCCCAAAAAAAACAACAACAACAACAACCAAACAACGCGTCATCGCATCAATTCCGGAACTTCGGTCTGACCAGAGACCGATTATTAATTTTTTTGGCCTAATATGCACACTGCATGAACACGCACAAGCCTCCGTAGCAAATCAATCAATGGACACAAGTTGGACACATGGCTCAAGATGCACATACGCCAAACTGCATGGGCCAAAACCTTTCCCTTCTCTGGGTGACTGTCAAATTCCCTGAGTTTTCCTTAAGATTGGTGTTTTTTCCAAATTCCTTGAGTTTTCCCCCACCTGGAAACATGGAAACGCATTTTCAAGGTTTTTTTTCCCTGATTTCCACAGTGGCTGGGAACCCTGCTATAATTTCTGGATTTGCAAATATTTTATTTGCCTTTTCTCATTGACAAGGCGGTGTGATGTTGTGAACTGATTCAGATTCAGATTGATGCTGAATACATACGAGTGATATAAATTTTAGCATACACATGTACGAGTACATGCGTGTATATATGAGTACATGCATTTATTACAGACATAAAAATGTTAAATTAGTCCTATCAAATTACCACTTGACCAGGTGCGCTGTGAGCAAGACTTGTTTTACACGTCCGAACCTCCAAGAAAATTATAAACGTCTTACATTGTAAAATCCTTGTTTTAGTTTTTAAGGCAATGAAATGTGACCCTATCAACCATGGTTGATAGAATTTATGGAACAAAGTTTCTTGCACAAATATGCAACAATTTTACGTACAATTTACAGTTTAGTATAACAATACAACGGTGATCAAATTATTGTTAAAGAATATTTTTTCCCGATTGTTCTGTGAACAATATTTCTTGGGTATTTGGGTTGTTTTTTTTATGAACAGGTCCTGAAAAAGCACATCATTTCCTGTGGGCCAATATAGCCTGATAAGTTATCTTCTTCTCTGCATCAGCATGAAGCAGGTCATGGTCACGGCCGAAAATCCAGCGTTCCGTAGGGCCTCCATGTATGGTTCCGGCTCCCAGCGGGTGCCATTAGGAAACAAACCGCGTTCCGCTGTCGCCCGAATTGAATCCAGGCACAAAGTCGTGACCATAAAACCCCCAGGTTTCAAGACTCGGTGCAGTTCCCCTGCGACCTTTGCCGGTTCCGGCCAGAAGAAGTAGCAGTAACAGTAGTGGTAGATGCGGTCCATGGAGGCATCTGAGTATGGCAGGCTGGCTGCGTCGCCGAGTTCAACCTGCACCATTCCCACTGGCATTTTCTGACTCCAGGGAACGCTTGGCTTCCATCACCATCTCTGGAGAATGGGAAATTTTCAAAGATGCAAAGAAAGAAGAGTAAATCAGCAACCTCATGCACATGTTCTTCAACTCACTTCCCAAAGGATTTTATGAACAATTTCATCCGAGAAAAAAATCATCAAAAGCACGCAACGCATTCAGCAATAACAGACATTTGGAGTCAGTGTGATCAAAGACTTAAACCACATTTGTTAGACCTCACTTAGAGTACAGCTCGGCTGCTTGGGATCCATATACACAAGATCAGATAACGCAGATTGAAGCTGTCCAACGCAGAGGAGCAAGATTTGTGTTCAGAGACTACGACAACAAGAGCAGCCCATCTGCTATGATCTCAGCACTGATATGGGATACTCTCTCATTGAGAAGAAAGGAGCACCGCCTCAACGTCTTCAACAATGGATTACACGGTCACCTAGCCCTCCCGGCAAGAACCATCTTACGCCCGACCACACGCTCATCTAGATTCTCAAACGCAAACACCTTCCTCAGACTACAAGCAAGAAAGGACTGTTATAAATACTCTTTTTTCCCAAGGACTGTTAACCGAGTGGAACCAATTACCTGTGAATATTACATCGATCACTGACAAACTACCCTTCAAGCAACAACTGTACAAGCACTTAAGAAACTAGAATCATCCATGCGCACTCACAACCCTGCTCGGTTTACTGCAACTGCAATGTAACAAGGAGTGTTGAGCAGTATTGATGCAGATGCAGACTACAAGTGGTGATTGTAAAAAAAAAACCAAGCGCGAGTGCACAAAAAGCTCTGACCCGGTTCCAGATGAATGGCTCGCTTCATGTGCAAAATAGACGCGCATGCGCATCGATGGAGACAAAGGGTCACGGTTCTGAACAATTTCACCAGGAGTGAATTTTCCTGAAGTTGGGTGTCTTAAAAAGTTCACAGTTTCACGGGTAAAGAGACACCAAGGTTGTGACATTTTTTTAAACTGCTTTTTGAAATGGTTTGTTGGTTCTTATATGTGATCAAATACTATACCATGTGCACACAATATAATGTGTTTGAAAAATAGCACTGCATTATGTTATTTGCAAGTTAATACTGCTTTTGAATGCCATATAAATGGTTTAATATTTAACTAGTTGAGCAAGATTCACAGTGCGTTATCCCAAATGTTTTATATGTAAACGAGACCCGTTTTTTTAGTGTCCCTTTTAATACATGGGAAATTTGTGTAATGTTTCTGAGAAATAAAAAGATTATTGGGTTCACTGGCATCACCATTAATTACATGTCTCACTTGATAAGTGTAAAAATTATTTTAAAAAAAATTGCACGCGTGCTTGGAACCTCTTTATCATTCGGCCAATTTACTAGGTTTCACGTGTATATGGGACACCAAATGGTGCCCCGCTTATCATGCACATTAGTCTAAGCAACCGTAAGCAAGTTATTTTCACAATAACCATTAATGTGTTATTCTGGGTCTACATAAAATTAACACACCACATCGAAGATGTATCATCACAAAAATAAGCAGAAAATTAATTTGATTTTCCCCTTACACGTGAAACCATGAATGGGTTTTGACATGTTATTTTTGGCATTATATTTCTTGAGTATATAATGTCTGATTTTGGCTACAATTAATGAGGAATGGCAATATCTTTACGTTATACTGAAAATTATTATTGAATTCCCTCCCTGTCAATCAAATTTTCCATTTTGGGTCAAACTGTCACAAGCTGGCACCCTAATTCATAAAATAACCCACATACGTTAATAGGCATCATCACGGCAGCGGTAACGCGATTTTCAACTGCCCTTCATTGATTCAATCTCTCTTTGTGATTATGGCAAGCGCGCCGCAGGCAGTGCACATGTAATACAGTGCGAAACCCGGTAGTGCACACACATTTTATATTAAAGGGAATGAGTAACATTTCAAATTTGCTACAAAATCCTTTATAAATTCAATCAACGCTCCATGGACTTTGTAAACAAAGGCGTCTGAATACTACATTCTTTCCAAAAGCATTTAATGTCATCATGAAAGTCAATGAAAATTTAAGATAATACAAATCAAATCCCCTTTAGCTGTACGGCAACTTAACAAATAAAGGATCACTAAACGACTGGAATTTGAAGTCTATGGTTATAATTAAAGGGAAGATATAACATTTGCAAACATCAAAAAACGAAATGATCCAATTATCACGAAATACCTTACTGGATTGTTAGGGAATGACAGTCTAAGCATCCTGTAAAATTGTGGCTCCTGGTGTGCTGACATTTTCAAGACAAATTGTATTTTTTCCAACGCTTTATTTCTTTGCAATTGATACCTGTGGCCGGGTACCGACAAGCCAGCTAAATTGATACTCCGGCTATACAATTCCCCAAAGTCTATAAATTGCTCCATTTCATCTTAAGTGGGGTCAGGAAACCAGATTACAAGAATATAATTGTTTTTCTTGTTTTTTTTTCCAGCACCTACAAGCCATAAACTTGAAACAAATAGTTTAACAATATTTGCTAAAACATATAAATCCTCCAAATGCACTCATTTCTGAAAATTGCCACAAACTACCAATGTAGGTAAGATGAGCCTTTGCATCATGGTAGAGATACTAAATAATGAAAGGTTTGCGGAAACACCACGTGCGAATAATTTCTCAACTAAAAGAATGGTTCTGAAAAGAACCAGAGGTATAAACTCGACGTTCCATGTTGTACATTCCCTTTAAGATGTATTCGCAACTGAATCCAGTTTTATCTGATGTATTTACTTTCAGCCGTGTATGCGGTACAAAAGGTCGTCGTACATTGCCTGTATGTAAATGATTTGCCTCACGTGACATTTAAAGCCAATAGTGAGAGCTTCAAGCGGCGCGGCGGTGGATTTGTATATAAAGGCGGACAAGAAGCATGTTTTTTTTTTTGGCCTTAGAAATATTTTCTTGTTCCTTTACCGCTTGTTCATCTTGTATAATAATAAAGAATATTTGTAAAGCGCCGGTATCCGCCTACAAAAAGGCGCTCATGGTGCTTGAGGAGAAAGTCAAAGTTAGGACTGTGCGTTGTGAGAGTAAACTTGTTTGTACATGTGAGGTTTTATGTTTATCTTAAAATGTTGTGATCATTGATGGATGGAGATGATTTTGATAGCCAGAGGGAGTTCGTTCCATACTCGGGCTGACGCTGCAGCAAAGGATCTATCACCCGATCGTCACACAGTAATGTTCAGCCTCTGACTAATGTTATGATGCGTAAAATTGGGCCCCCAAAAATATGGAATGTTGAAATTCCTGATTGTATTTTTAAATCCCTTATAATGCAGGAGAAGGCATCGTAGATTTCTAAATTTTCCGGCGGGGGGGGGGGGGGGGGCACGCCCCGAACCACATGAACGCAGTCAACCCCCCCCCCCATTCCTGAAAGCTAGATCATCCCCTGTTTTTATATAAACTTGTTTTGTTTATGTCACCTGGAAGCAAGAACTTTCAAATAAACAATATTTGATTGTACCATTAAGCCATATTGATCTATTATAGCCGCTTCTGCGTATCGCCGGTAAACGACCGCTATACCTCCATGTTAGGCCCCCCCCCAAAAAAAATATTCGGTCTCTGGTCAGACCAAAGTTCCGGAATTGACGCGGCCACGCGGCTTTTTTTTTTTTAATTGCTTTATTTTTTCTTCAAGCTTGGATTGTACAGACAAGGTAGGTACTATTTTGCTTTTTTGGTGTCCTCATGTACATTGGTGTCCTCCATAACTTGCCTTGGTGCTTTCGATCATTTGCCTTGGTGCAATTTCCCATTCCTTAATGCTCTTTGGTAAAAAAAAAAAGAGGAGGTGCGGAAATAGAGGGCGCTGTTGGAGCTACCGCGGAACATTTTGGAAAAAAAAAGATCGACGCGCATGATTAGAATCGACGCGCGCGCTGACCAGAGACCGACCTATTTGTTTTTTGGCCTTACCGCTACATACACCGCGCGCCGCGCCAGCTAGTTGTATTGCCGTTTGCCTCAACGACCCTTGCGTGTGCTTTTGTCTGCACGTACATACGTACGCCCCACAAACACATCCGTTAACAGCTGTACATGCACGGTGGTGGTAAGAGCTTAACATAATTTAATGAAGGAATTTGCAAAGCATACAAAAATCTGTTGTGGTTTCTTTACCGCTTTTTCTTGTTGTATGCGCTACTGCGTATCGCCGGTAAACGACCGCTGCAAGTCTACTTTTCACCTGCACAATAATCCTATGGTGTCCGTGCGAGACAAAGCGGGTGACAATATGTATAAAAACTAGTTAATGCTACGAAGTTTAAGCAAAAAGTAAAAACATTTTTCTTGGAGTACAAGCAAACAAGGAGAAGCAAATGCTTGATTTCGTATGAATAAAAATTTCCTTTACTGTACAGCATTTACTAAACAACAGGAAGCAAATGCTTCTTTATGGTGTCCAAAATCTGCCATCCTGATTGTATTTTTAAATCCCTTATATTATAATGCAGGAGAAGGCATCGTAGATTTCTAAATTTTCCGGGGGGGGGGGGGGGGGGAGGGGGGCACGCCCCGAACCACCTGCACGCAGTCAACCCCCCCCCCCCCCATTCCTGAAAGCTAGATCATCCCCTGTTTTTATATAAACTTGTTTTGTTTATGTCACCTGGAAGCAAGAAATTTCAAATAAACAATATTTGTTTGTACCGTTAAGCCAATATTGATCTATTATAGCCGCTTCTGCGTATCGCCGGTAAACGACCGCTGCAAGTCTACTTCTCATTTAATATGGCTTGATGTTGAGCGCGCCAGCTGGTTGTATATACATAGTCAGCCTCACCGTCACAACGAACGACCCTATTTATAGACACAGTGTATTTCCTGTGTGTAAATAGGGAGAGTGAAGGTCCTGGAGTCATGAGGCATGGCATCATAAGCTCACTGGAGCGGAGCGAGTCCGGTGCGTGCTGTTGAGTACGGGTGGATGAGGTCGATGAGATACTCCGGTGCATTGTTGTGGAGGATTTTGTACAGGAATAGGCCAAGTTTGTATTTGATTGTGTATGATACTGCAAGCCAGTGGAGATCTGCTAATACAGGAGTGATGTGAGAATGTTTACTATATAGTGAGAGAGATTAAAAAAAAAAAAAATGAAACATGGTGAAACCCAGGCAGAGAAGTTGAAAGCAAAATGAGAAGAGTTTTAAATCACTTAATAAAGATTCGAAGAAGCAAAATTTTGCACATGGGATTTTATGCGGTTGCTCTGTACACACTTTAATTTTTTTTTCAGTCATGCAGTACTCTCAAAATAAGGAAAAATTCTCAAAAAAAACCCCGGAAGCACGTGTTAGCGAACTTCACGTGAGGCTACCTTTTTTTCACAGATCATGTTTGTGATGTTGTGAGGCATAGCCTAGTTTAAATCCTTCCATATTTTGCTTTCAAATGTACTTTACTATGGCTTGACATTTGGAGTATTAATACAATTTTCTGTTTGTTCTTTTTAGCGGCGTTGCTCAACATGATCCAAGCGCCCATAGACCTGTGGATGGTTCTAGGTAAATAAATTGCATCCCTTGCGCACTTCAGTCAGACCATAAAAATAATGTGCACATGCGCCAGTTACGTTTTGCACTTTGTCAATTTTTGAAACGAACTAGTTTCTAGGTATTTTTTTCCAATGGAGACGTAAAAAGAGATTATTGCCACTTAGGCCTGTGTGTGAACAGGAACGTATAGTTGCAGTGAAATAACACTTCGACGCAAAACAGCGGCATGCATGTAGGCCTATGCTACAAATATTATGTGTTCCAGGAAACCTTATTCCCAAAGGTTACTTTCTTTTCAACCTCATTAACCCCTGGGTGGGTAACTTAATTATTCGATATACAGCAATAGCAAGCAATGGTTTTGTATTTTGTATTCTGTGTTTTATTTCCAGCGTGTACTATAACGTGATTTAACTTCAATGTGAATTACGTCCACTCAATCTAAAATCCATTCCCCCTGGCTGGATAAGATTGTTACATTTTAACTTTGAAAACAAATCGTGTTTTCTGATTTTATATACGCCGAGAATTGATTCTGTTTTTACCCCAGACATAACTAGCACCGCATACGAAAATAAAACACTGATTTAAAGCAAAGCCAGGCACCAGACTATTCCTAATTTGCATACATGTGTAAGATTTTGGAACACGGTAATGATCCAATACCAGGGTCAGAGAGAGCAGGTAGTGGTGGGAGCGTTGTACTGCTCGACACAATGGAGAACGAGGTTGTTTTGCAGGTATCTCAGAGGGTGTTTTTCTTTGTTATTCAAATAATGTTATAATAAACGCACAAAAGGTTTACTCATGTCCATCAGCAGGCAATACGAAACCGTTGCCCTCTAACTCCGTCTAAACGCATAAGGTCTATAACCAAGACAGTGACGTAACTTGGGTTCGTTTACAATAAACATTTCATTTTGCCCTCCCTCAATTCTAATGGGGCGGGGGGGGGGGCCTTAGTTACGCCACTGGACAGAGATAGACATTATCACTCGGCTAAAAGAAAAACTCTCAGCTAGCCGTTAAGTTCGGCTTGTAAGTTTTGTTTGTTTTCATATCATATTGGAATATTAATTTTTACAAACAAGGATCGCAAATTTATTCGTAAGATGGAATTTGCATCTGGCTGATGTAATTATGAGGGTGTTGCCCTTCACCGACGTATAAACTCTGTATAATCAGTGTGTTACCTCCCGAGTGAAAGTTAGAAACAAAATTCTGAGTCACCCGAGTGATTCTTTTCTAACTTTCACTCGGGAGGCACCACTCTGAGTATACAGTGTTTATACATCGGTGAAGGGCAAAACCTGATACTGATCGAAAATGTCTTTATTGTTTGTGTGCACATTATAATAATGACCCTGAGAGGAGTTAATTTTGTCTGAAACATAAAATTACTCTGCAGAGTTGTTTAATGATCAATCGCTTAAATTATTGATACAGAGCTAGATTTAGCATGTGTTACAAACGTGCACCAATCTCGGACTGACCCATACAAAGTGTTTTCCCCCCCTTCAGTCACATGTGGTTTTACGGGGTAAAATTGCTTTGCCAAAACTGCCATATACAAGTTGAACTGGACCACAATCCTTTTTAAGTGTAATATGCAACAATTTTTGTTTTAAACCTGCTCGGTTGATTGTCCACCATCTTGATTCTTTAGAATTTGTTCACGTATTATAGTTTCTAATCGATCCCTTGGAATATTATCCCCGTTGTAGTTGTTTCAGTGGTGGTGGTGGTTATTTGTACCCAAGCAAGTAACAACGAGGATGGAACCATCATTCTGGAGCGGGGGCACCCTGGCATCTTGTCCTGCCCTCCCTTCGCATCCGGACGAATCACGCTGGATCAGATCGACGCCATGTACTGGTACTTCCCTGAAAAACGGGATGAAAACATCTTGATCTCCTACTTCCTTGGAAATACCGCTCCACAAAACGGTATACCGGAGGGCGTGTATGACATCAACAGAAACCTCACTCTGGTTATTGAGAACGTTACCGACTCAGATGAAGGGACCTACTTCTGTAGCGTCAAACCGAATTGGGAACCCTTGATTGACGGGCACGTGGCTATGCGTGTCAAAGGTGAGTGGGTTGGCGATAGGTATGTTTTTGCCTGAGCTGGTCAAAAGCATGAATGTCGGCCCGCGTTTCATTCGGTTATAGCTCCAGTTTTTAACCATCAATATTCTGAAGGGTGGAAACATATAACGAAAAATTATATATATATATTTTTTAGCATACCGTCCATTTGGGATTTAGAAGTCAACTTTTTTGAGAACGCTGTGCCTGTGGCTTGGATATCTGGTTTGCACAAAAAAACACCCTAAAAACAAAAATTGATATAAAATCCAGGAAGTCTGAACACTTTTGTTCTCAACTTTTTTTCAATGATTTTTTAAGGGAACTGCATGTTCTTTAAAAAAAAAACCTTTGATATAGCAGCTTTGTGCCCATGAAAACCCTTTAACGTGCTTTATGTTCCTGCTTTTTATATAGTTGTTGGTTGATGATATAGTTTTACCTTTGTACTGGTTGGTGGACATGTATGGTAAAACATGGAGTGTTAAACGTTTCGAGCATTTTTAGCATTTGTATTCTGGTGATACGCTAAAAGTCTCATTTTTCTCCTACATTTGTCAACAACGTATTTTTGGTGTGTGTTTAGTATCTCCCAAGCAGCCGTTTCCCGACGTCACCCAATGCACGCGGCGAATCTCCGTGACTGCGTGCGAGGCAGTATTGCCGTACGACTTTAAGAAACCAATGCTGACCTGCATCGTACAGAATGTTAGGCCTGCCGTGTCTCTCCGATGGCTGCTTGAGTATAGTGACGGAGACACACAACTCATCAGCGACAGATTCACCGTAACACAAAGTACGTATATACAGGGTGATTAAAAAGAGGAAACCCAAATGTCGGGCCCATTGTTTCAAATTATGAAAATTGGCATCAAGTGTTCACAGCATCCAATTTTGTAAACTGTCACATGGTCTTTACTGATCTCGAGGGCGCCTCATCATCCCCGTTTGGAATGGAAAGTAATCCGGTTGTATATTCTTGCTGCATCATGTCTCTGAATTAAAACGTGTTTACAAGAGGAACATGAAAGCACGATTTCAAAATAAGGGCCCGATTTCACGGAGATGCTGAAGTTAAGGGAAAACAAGTTTCTCAAGTTTTGTTGTAGGCAAGACATTTAAATGATTATAAAGTTTATGCAATTATCTTGTGTTCTCAGCTATACATAATTAATAACGTCCCTGTTTTTGTGGTATGTTTTAGGCGACTATTCGGTCAACACCTTCACTACCTCAGCATCAATCCCAATTACAGCGAGTAGTGTGGACAAGTACATGTACAGATGTCAAGCGTGCGGAGAGGGTCTAGCATCCAGGAATGGTAGCCACCTGACGGTGACTGTCACCACAGCTCCCTCTACGCCTACCCGCCCACGTGAGCCTCAATATTATTTTGCTCTTGGCCAGTGGCGTAGCATCCGGGGGATGAAAATACTTTTGTTTGTGAAATCTTTCTGAAATAAATCTCATTGAAAGAGTGGCAGTGATATTTCATGGTTATCCTTACTTAAGAACTTCAAGACCAATAAGCAAGCAAGTATCTTTCACGTGCTTTATTTAAAGTGTCTTGATAAGAAGTATTAAAGTCGCCTTTATAAGAGCCAACAAAAGCAACATTTTTTGACGACTGAGCATCACACACTGAGGCATTCATCGAAATTATGAATATTCACTAGAGTCAGTTTATAACGAATTAAAACATAACGTTTTTGCAGGTTTCACATCACTTCAATCTACCACAACTGCCTTGGCGGCTACGTTTGGTGACACCTCTGCAGTGACAGGCACTCCAGATAGCTCTGCAAGTGCCCCGACTTGGCTTATTGTTACTCTTTGCCTGTCATTAATTGCCAACCTCGGTTGCGTTATTGCTGTAGTAGTACTATGCAAGGTATGTTGGGGCCTATGCGTCAATACCCTCTTGGACAAAATAATGTATGCACTAAACTTTTTTTCCGAGTTGCAGTTTTAAGTACATATCATGGGCGTAAATGCCAAGGGGGGGGGGGGGTGGAGGGGGTTATACACCCCACTTTTTGACCGGGGTGGGCTATTGAATCATCCCCCGCACTTTTTTGTGATGGCAAAAAAAAATGCGGATTTCGAGGCAGTTTTTGAACATCCCAACAACAAAAATGTATTCAATAGCACTGAAAAATGGAGAAACAAAGTACAAAAGCTTTTAAAATGCGCCGTTTGATGTAAGCGCGAGTATACATATTGATATACATCTATATCCCGAAGAGCGCCCCCCCCCCCCCCCCGCCTTTCCACGGCTGGGCAATTCTTGGATTTTGGTCATCCCCATCTCCTCCCCCCCCCCCCCCCCCCCCACACACACACTTGCCGGCACAGCTTTACGCCACTGGTGCATATTAAACAAAGAGTGTCTAGACATAATACAGGAACGATGATCCTGTCTCTGTCTTGTTAATGATGGCCGCTGATGATGTATGTAGTTGTAAAAAAGGGGAAACATAACCAAAACAATTGCTTCCTTTAATGTCCGTGAGTGCCTTTATAGTCTACTTTTTTATGTAAGGATTATCTTGCTTTTTTATGTTATAGTTGGTTATACACTAAATTGGTTACGCACTCTTTATGTCATGCATTCTGTTGTATCATTGTCATCATTCTTTCAGATATGGCCGAGGAAGCCTGATGGACAAGCATCAGAACCGAATTGCGAAAATGATAGAATGATTGAGATTTTACCCAACGGCGCCCTTGGGACTGAACAAAATGAAAGCAATGTTTAGTTTATTAGGTGACCAATATTTGCAAAGTTTATTTATTTAAAATTTCAATCAACGAAAACCTTGGTGTATTGATTTTTAGTATGATTGTAACTGCTTTAACACGTGTCTCTGATTTTTTTTAATGCAATTGTTACGTCTACAGGACACTGTGGACCTTTACAATTTTCACGAATGATGAAAGTATACTTTCTGTATTCTGCAACTGACGAAAAATGTCTTCATCAGTTTTGCTGGATTTGAGGATCAAAATACTCTACATGTGTTTTGGACTATTTACACCTGATTTGGACTATTACCCATATACGTGTAAACCTGTGTGTATAGCAAATCAAGAGTCACAAATTGTAACCAATGACCGAGAAGGCTTGGAGGGGTGATCGGCCAATCAGATATCTTGTTCTGAGATACTTGACAAAGCCTGACTGGGGGCCGGCCAATGAGAATATAGAAGTAGTGTTGGTTCATCAGAGGTAGAAAGTTGGGGCGGGAAGGAAAAAGTTGCATTATGCTGTCACTTTTGTCTCAGCCTCTGAAGGAACAACTTGTACAGTCATAATCACATCCCCTTCCTCCTCCATTCCTTCTGAAATATTCGAACAGAATAAAACAACCCTTGATGATTTTTTACTCATTAATACTCTTTGTAAATAATGCGTAGGTTAAACAAAGCACATTGTACACATTTATGTAGAGTTTTTGTTACTGTCGCCGTCACCATAATAATTATGAACAATAATGTGCTGCAGGCATGACGGGTCGGCAGTGTCTAGATTTCGATACCCAACATAATAATGAACAAAACAAACTTCTTACTGAGGTGTGCACACACACACAAACTTTTTGTGTTTGCTTGTACACTGTATTGTATTTTTGTTTGCTTGTAAATACACCAGTTGTGCCTATGAAGTGTGTTGGGTATGGACTTGAAGTAAGAGTAGTCGACTATTGATGTACCGCCAATGCGCATGCGTGCGCGTCTTTGTGGAAAGTTCCAGTAGGCCCTACTTAACTTTACCTCTATCTTGTTCAAGTGATAGTTTTGACATGACAATATGTTTGGCCCTTTTAGGCCCTTTCTGACAGTTACACATGTCTCCGTGTCAATTATTGAGTTGTAGAGTTACCCCTAGGACACAACGTGTATATTGTTTTATACAAAGCAAATGACCTCGATCGATGCCCACTATTTGTTGACCCATTCATTCCATGACTCACTGGCCATTTGACATTGTAAGTTTCGAAGTACAGCAAATATAGTTGTTTAAGATGTTATTGCTCATTCATAGTCATCTTTAGTTCTGAGAATCTAGCAAACAAAGAAAGTGACCAAATTATTCCCTTCTGAAATACATGTGTATCTGTAACTTTCAACTACCGGTACATCCGATCCTGTTTCCACAAGCACTGCCCCATGAGCAGTTCTTGAATTCACTTGGTATCATTCATTCATTCCATCAGCCATTCATAGTCAGTATTAATATTCAGTACTTCCTCAGCAGTATATTCAGTATTCGTCGGTCAGTTCTCTATTCCTCAGTTCACCTTTCAACGAGTCCAGTTAACTCATATTAATAATTGTTGTGGAATAAACTAAGTCGTGGTTATCAACTATTTATGTATTGACTACCTATTCCCCAACAGACACACCGCAGTAATTGATTACATTCGGGGTGATTTATCATGGCAATCATTGTTGATTTATCATGTCAATCACGCCGGTCTGCAGGCGTAATGACAGGCGTCAACCTTTGCGAAATGGCTAAACGTTTTACTGTTTAATCGGTTCAAAATTTGTGTTAAACGTTTACAAAATTAAACAGAAAGTCACATCCTTAAAGATAGATCCAAGTAGTTGATGACTTTGTTAACTGCGTTGATAGAATTTATGGAACAAAGTTTTCTGCACAAAAATAAAAGAATTTTAGGTACAATTTACAGATTAGAATAACAATACAACGGGTTAAAAAAGGTTCCCTGGGACTTAAGACTGAATATTTTTCCCAATTGTTCTCTGAACAATATTTCTTGGGTATTTGGGGTTTTTTTTTTGAATGAACAGGTCTTGAAAAAAAACCCATCATTTCCTGTGGGCTAATATAACCTGATAAGTAATCTTCTTCTCTGCATCAGCATGAAGCAGGTCTTCCATGGTCACGTCGGAAAATCCAGCATTCCGTAGGGCCTCCATGTATGGTTCCGGCTCCCAGTGGGTGCCGTCAGGAAACAAACCGCGTTCCGCTGTCGCCCGAACTGAATCAAGGCACAAAGTGGTGACCATAAAACCCCCGGGTTTCAAGACTCGGTGCAGTTGCCCTGCGACCTTTGCCGGTTCCGGCCAGAAGTAGTAGCAGTTACAGTGGTAGATGCGGTCCATGGAGGCATCCGGGTACGGCAAGCTGGCTGCATCGCCCAGTTCAACTTGAACTTTCCCACTTGCAATTTCGGACTCCAGGGAACGCTGGGCTTCCTTTACCATCTCTGGAGAATAGTCGATGCCATACACTTTACCTAACGGCAAATTCCAAAGATAAAGTATGTTGTGTAAATCAGAAGTGTTCTTCAACTCACTTCCGAACAATGTTATGAAAAACTGCATCCGAATCTAACGATAAAATACAACTTTAATCCAACAAAAGCAGCACAAACGTGGAACAGAACAATAACATACATTTGATGTCAAGGTGATCAAAGACTACAGTACAAGTACTGACTGATAAAGAAAACAAGTGCAATTGCCCAATAAGCTCTGGCCGTATGAAAGTATGGCATGAAAAGATACAAAAACTAACTTGCAGGCATGCAACTTGGAAGAAACTAAAAACGAGGAAACTCTAATCTTTACAAGACTTTGTACAGTGTTTTTCAGTTTTGAATGGCACAACGTGAAGTGAAAAACGAGGAAATCAGCTGATCTGAGGAAATGTTGCATGCCTGAACTTGGTAGTGATTGTCAATTGAAATAAGAATTTCCCATTTTGTTGAAAGTCACAATGCAAAATATTAGTGACTTTCATGATACAAAGTTCCCATGCCCTGAGACACATAAAAATGACACAGGGCCAGAGGCAGGGGTGATGTATAGTGACAGGTGTGTAGAAGCCCCCTAAAGTTTGTAGCGCACAAAAATACCACGTGACTAAAACATTAGCTCACATTATTTTGCCTCTATTCAAAAAAATTCATAGACAATGTCACGAATTGTTACAAACAATTTTTGTCACTCTAATCTTTACAAGACTTTGTACAGTGTTTTTCAGTTTTGAATGGCACAACGTGAAGTGAAAAACGAGGAAATCAGCTGATCTGAGGAAATGTTGCATGCCTGAACTTGGTAGTGATTGTCAATTGAAATAAGAATTTCCCATTTTGTTGAAAGTCACAATGCAAAATATTAGTGACTTTCATGATACAAAGTTCCCATGCCCTGAGACACATCAAAATGACACAGGGCCAGAGGCAGGGGTGATGTATAGTGACAGGTGTGTAGAAGCCCCCTAAAGTTTGTAGCGCACAAAAATACCACATGACTATAACATTAGCGCACATTCTTTTGCCTCTATTCAAAAAATTTCATTAACATTGTTACAAATTATTACAAACAATTTTTGTCAAGTATTTATAATGTATTTTGTTTGCTTTTCTTGGACAGTTACAATTGGTCAGGCATGCAACTGGGAAATCACAAAAAAAGAGGAAATTCAAATTTTTCCCAGACTTTGTACAGTGTTTTTCTATTTTCAATGGCACACATGGGAAGTAAAAAAAGAGGAAATCAGCTGATCCGAGGAAAAGTTGCATGCCTGATTGGTACTTACAGCTTTATGGGCCAATTAGGGGGGTTCGTTTTTTCGTACTGACCTAAGGATCTAGACCAATTTACCTACACCGTACCCTAGTGATTTAATGCATTTTGTTTGCTTTTTCTTTTTGGACAGTTACAATTTGGCACTTACAGCTTTACTGGTGTAAGTTAGGGGGCTCATTTTTCGTTTTTTGGACCGAAATTCATAGACAGAAGGATCTAGACCAACCTACCTACACCATATTCGAGTGACTTGTAAAAGCTCTGTTGCCAGAGCTTAAAAATTCACTTATGAACTGTCACACCGTAACTTCAATGCCTCTCCAACGGCAAACCTACCACCAACAATGGTTTCAGCAGCAGCCTTCAGACCGACCCCTGGCCCAAAGCCAATCTCCAGAACATGATGCTGTGGCTCAAGATGGCACAGTCGTACTGCATTTAACTCCAAGTACACGTTCTTCCGTTTGAAGACTCTCTATTGAATTTCAAATTTGAAAATGATCAAAATTAACAATAATAAAAAAAGACCCATTACCGTGTACATACTGTAACAAATATATGACTGGAATTTCCAGTCTATGTTTCGAACTATACCTACTGGTGAGAATTTGGATGAATGATCGCTGCTTTCATCAAGTTCATGTGGTGCACATGTGAGATTAGAACAATATGCTGCTGGCACTTCATGTTGTTTGAATTAATTTTACAAGTTTACTAAATTCTCCATACATCACCAGGGTCTCCATCAGTTTATCCCTGCCCATTCGCGGGGTAGGCGCTACAGGCGAAAAATCAAATTGCGCCTCGTTCTGGGCCGCGCAAACGTTAGGGTAGGCCTACATTAGTCCCACTAACTGGGGCACTAGAACTCCTTTTTTGATATTTGAGATGTTGGTCTGTCGTACTAGCGTCCCACAACGGAATTATTGTCAAAGTGACAATTTCAAAATTCACCACAAAAATCACGCAAAATACTTGACAAAAATACCTTTGAAAGCACCTACTGGCATTTCCACATGTCAAAGACGAAGAAATGGGGCTTCGATGATACTCACCAATATGTTTTGGGTTGAAAATCCGTGAAATTCAACCACTATTGAACAGACATCATACAGCGATCATTCAAAAACGCTTATGGCTTTTATCTACTAACGCATTGTATGCTTTCAGGTCAACTCGGTCCGTGACCAACTCGGTCCGAGTCAACTCGGTCCGTAACCGACTCGGTCCATGACCGACTCGGTCCGTAACCGACTCGGCCCACGACCGACTCAGTTCGTGACCAACTCGGTCCGTAACCAACTCGGTCCATGTCCAACTCGGTCCATGTCCAACTCGGTCCGTAACCAGCTCGGTCCCTCGTATGGGAAAATGTACGCAAAAAGATTGCATTTTTTTGTAACAAGGCAATCCCATCCCGAAAGTATTTTAGGCGGCCCACCCCTTCGCCAGCTGAGCTGAGGTTGCATGGACCATGGAGGAAGAAATACACATAGGGCCCTACATATGTCCCTAAAAAGTTTTCCAAATCCGAAGTCATAAAAAAACTGATTTTTGACCAAAAAATCTAACTTCAGAAAATTAAGTCAAATGTTCACACAAGGTGGTTAGAGACCAGAAATGAATTCCTGCGAGAATTCAGCTCACTACAGTCATGATCCAGGGAGAAAACAAACATTTTACCTCTTTACCAAAATGTCTGAAATCTGAAAAGTTTTCCATATCCGCGGTCATCAAAAAAACTGATTTTTGACCAAAAAATCCAACTCCACGAAATTAAGTCAAATGTTCACACAAGCTGGGTAGAGGCCAGAAATGAATCCCCGAGAGATTTCAGCTCCCTACAGTCAGGATCCAGGGAGAAAACAAACACTTAAAGTTTTTACCAAAATGTCTCAAATCTGCACAGTTTTCCATATCCGCGGTCATCAAAAAAACTGATTTTTGACCAAAAAATACAACTCCACGAAATTAAATCAAATGTTCACACAAGCTGGGTAGAGGCAAGAAATGAATCCCCGAGAGATTACAGCTCCCTACCGATAGGATCCAGGGAGAAAACATACCTTTTTTTTTTTTTACCAAAATGTCTCAAATCTGAAAAGTTTTCCATATCCGCGATCATCAAAAAAACTGATTTCTGACCAAAATATCCAACTTCACGAAATAAAGTCAAACGTTCACACAAGCTGGGTAGAGGCCAGAAATGCATCCCTGAGAGATTTCAGCTCCCTACCGATAGGATTTAGGCAGAAAACATACAATTTGTTTTTTTACCAAAATGTCTCAAATCTGAAAAGTTTTCCATATCCGCGGTCATCAAAAAAGCTGATTTTTAACCAAAAAATCCAACTTCACGAAATTAAGTCAAATGTTCACACAAGCTGGGTAGAGGCCAGAAATGAATCCCCGAGAGATTTCAGCTCCCTACAGTCAGGATCCAGGGAGAAAACAAACACTTTAGGTTTTTACCAAAATGTCTCAAATCTGCACAGTTTTCCATATCCGCGGTCATAAACAAAAATTGATTTTTGACCAAAAAATACAACTCCACGAAATTAAGTCAAATGTTCACACAAGCTGGGTAGAGGCCAGAAATGAATCCCCGAGAGATTTCAGCTCCCTACAGTCAGGATCCAGGGAGAAAACAAACACTTTAGGTTTTTACCAAAATGTCTCAAATCTGCACAGTTTTCCATATCCGCGGTCATCAAAAAAACTGATTTTTGACCAAAAAATACAACTCCACGAAATTAAGTAAATATTCACACAAGCTGGGTAGAGGCCAGAAATGAATCCCCGAGAGATTTCAGCTCCCTACCAATAGGATCCAGGGAGAAAACATACAATTTAGTTTTTTACCAAAATGTCTCAAATCTGAAAAGTTTTCCATATCCGCGGTCATCAAAAAAACTGATTTTTGACCAAAAAATCCAACTTCACGAAATTAAGTCAAACGTTCACACAAGCTGGGTAGAGGCCAGAAATGAATCCCCGAGAGATTTCAGCTCCCTACCGATAGGATCCAGGGAGAAAACATACATTTTAGTTTTTTACCAAAATGTCTCAAATCTGAAAAGTTTTCCATATCCGCGGTCATCAAAAAAACTCATTTTTGACCAAAAAATCCAACTCCACGAAATTGAGTCAAATGTTCACACAAGCTGGGTAGAGGCCAGAAATGAATCCCTGAGAGATCTCATCTCCCTATCAATAGGATCCAGGGAGAAAACATACATTTTAGTTTTTTACCAAAATGTCTGAAATCTGAAAAGTTTTCCATATCCGCGGTCATCAAAAAAACTGATTTTTGACCAAAAAATCCAACTCCAAGAAATTAAGTCAAACGTTCACACAAGCTGGGTAGTGGCCAGCAGTGAGTCCCAGAGAGATTTCAGCTCCCTACAATCAGGATCCAGGGAGAAAACAAACATTTTAGTTTTTTACCAAAATCTCTCAAATCTGAAAAGTTTCCCATATCCGCGGTCATCAAAAAACTGATTTTTGACCAAAAAATCCAACTCCAAGAAAATTAAGTCAAATATTCACACAAGCTGGGTAGAGGCCAGCAATGAATCCCCGAGAGATTTCAGCTCACTACCAAAAGGATCCAGGGAGAAAACATACATTTTAGTTTTTTACCAAAATGTCTGAAATCTGAAAAGTTTTCCATATCCGCGGTCATCAAAAAAACTGATTTTTGACCAAAAAATCCAACTCCACGAAATTAAGTCAAATATTCACACAAGCTGGATAGAGGCCAGAAATGAATCCCTGAGAGATTTCAGCTCCCTACCGATAGGATCCAGGGAGAAACATACATTTGAGTTTTTTACCAAAATGTCTCAAATCTGAAAAGTTTTCCATATCCGCGGTCATCAAAAATCCTGATTTTTGACCAAAAAATCCAACTCAACGAAATTGAGTCAAATGTTCACACAAGCTGGGTAGAGGCCAGCAATGAATCCCAGAGAGATTTCAGCTCCCTACCGATAGCATCCAGGGAGAAAACATACAATTTAATTTTTTATAAAAATGTCTGAAATCTGAAAAGTTTTCCATATCCGCGGTCATCAAAAAAACTGAATTTTGACCAAAAAATCCAACTCCACGAAATTAAGTCAAATGTTCACACAAGCTGGGTAGAGGCCAGAAATGAATCCCCGAGAGATTTCAGCTAACTACCAATAGGATCCAGGGTGAAAACATACAATTTAGTTTTTTACCAAAATGTCTCTAATCTGAAAAGTTTTCCATATCCGCGGTCATCAAAAAAGCAGATTTTTGACAAAAAAAAATCCAATTTCACGACATTAAGTCAAATGTTCACACAAGCTGGGTAGAGGCCAGAAATGAATCCCCGAGAGATTTCAGCTCCCTACCGATAGGATCCAGGGAGAAAACATACAATTTAGTTTTTTACCAAAATGTCTCAAATCTGAAAAGTTTTCCATATCCGCGGTCATGAAAAAAGCTGATTTTTGACCAAAAAATACAACACCACGAAATTGAGTCAAATGTTCACACAAGCTGGGTAGAGGCCAGAAATGAATCCCCGAGAGATTTCAGCTCCCTACCGATAGGATCCAGGGAGAAAACATACAATTTAGTTTTTTACCAAAATGTCTCCAATCTGAAAAGTTTTCCATATCCGCGGTCATCAAAAAAGCTGATTTTTGACCAAAAAATCCAACTTCACGAAATTAAGTCAAACGTTCACACAAGCTGGGTACAGGCCAGCAATGAGTCCCCGTCAGATTTCAGCTCCCTACAGTCAGGATCCAGGGAGAAAACAAACATTTTAGTTTTTTACCAAAATGTCTCAAATCTGAAAAGTTTTCCATATCCGCGGTCATCAACAAAACCAATTTTTGACCAAAAAATCCAACTCCACGAAATTAAGTCAAATATTCACACAAGCTGGGTAGAGGCCATCAATGAATCCCCGAGAGATTTCAGCTCACTACGAATAGGATCCAGGGTGAAAACATACAATTTAATTTTTTACCAAAATGTCTCAAATCTGAAAAGTTTTCCATATCTGCGGTCATCAAAAAAGCTGATTTTTGACCAAAAAATCCAACTCTACGAAATTAAGTCAAATATTCACACAAGCTGGGTAGAGGCCAGCAATGAATCCCTGAGAGATTTCAGCTCCCTACCGATAGGATCCAGGGAGAAAACATACATTTTATTTTTTTTACCAAAATGTCTCAAATCTGAAAAGTTTTCCATATCCGCGGTCATCAAAAAAGCAGATTTTTTGACCAAAAAAAATCCAATTTCACGACATTAAGTCAAATGTTCACACAAGCTGGGTAGAGGCCAGAAATGAATCCCCGAGAGATTTCAGCTCCCTACCGATAGGATCCAGGGAGAAAACATACAATTTAGTTTTTTACCAAAATGTCTCAAATCTGAAAAGTTTTCCATATCCGCGGTCATCAAAAAAGCTGATTTTTGACCAAAAAATAC